ATTTAAGAATTTCATCAACTATTACCATACTTAATACATAAAATTATTTCTTTAATAATCATTTTAACTTCTACCCTGCACTATAAATAAAATGCTTTTGAGCGTCCCTTCAGTCTAAACAGGAGATAGGTAGTGAAACCTTGTATAGCCAACTCATTTATCTTTGGCAATAGGATAGGTAAAGTAATTTTAATTGAACTATATAGTTCATTTAAACATAAATTTTACTTTTTCACTTTAGCCTTTTACTAGAGTTGGAAAAAGGAAGAGCAACAGTTTTGGTTTTATCTCCTTGATAATTTCCCAGCCTTAGATAAAATCTTACAGGGAGAAACCTATGACACACAGGATTTAGTGATTTGAGTCTTCTCCCTTTTTTTCTTTTTCAGTCCAGCTAAAGGTTTTATCAATTTTGTACATCTTTTCAAAGAACCAGCTTTTGGTTTCATTGATTTTTTTCCAATTGTTTTTTCTATTTTATTTCTTTTCTTTTCTTTTCTTTGAGGCAGACTAGCCCTGAGCTAACTGCCGCCAATCCTCCTCTTTTTGCTGAGGAGGAGTGGCCCTGAGCTAACATCTGTGCCCATCTTCCTCTACTTTATATGTGGGACGCCTACCACAGCATGGCTTGCCAAGTGGTGCCATGGCTGCACCCGGGATCTGAACCAGTGAACCCCGGGCCCCTGAAGCGGAACATGCGCACTTAACTGCTGCGCCACTGGGCCGGCCCCTCTATTTTATTTATTTTCACTTTAATGTTTATTATTTCCTTCATTCCTTCTTGCTTCAGGTTTAATTTGCTTTTTTTCGCCTCCTAGTGTTTTAAGATGTGGAAAGTTAGGTTACCGTTCTGAAATCTCCCTGCTTTTTTCATATGGGCATGTGTAACTATAAATTTCCCTCTAAGCATTGTTTTCACTGCATCTCATAAATTTCGATATGTGTTTTAATTCATCTCAGAGTATCTTCTAATTTCCTTTGTAATTGCTTCTTTGACCAATTGGTTATTTAGGATTGTGTCATTTAATATCCAAATATTTGTGAATTCCCCAATTTTCCTTCTATTATTGATTGCTAATCTCATTGCACTGTGGTTAGAGATCATACTTTGGATGATTTAAATCCTTTTAAATTTATTGAGACTTGTTTTTTGGCCCAACGTACAGTCTGTCCTGGAGAACATTCTGTGTGCACTTGAGAAGAACGTGTATCCTGCTGCTGTTGAGAGGAGCGCTCTGTAGGTGTCTGTTAGGTCTGGTTGCTTCATAGTGTCGCTCGAGGCTTCTGTTTCCTTGTTGATTTTCTGTCTTGTTTTTTTCTCCATTATTGAAAGTGATGTATTGGAGTCTCCAGCTTTTTGAATTGTCTTTCTCCCTTCAATTCTGTCAGTTTTTGCTTCCTATATTCCGGGCCTCTTTTGTTAGATGTATATATGTTAATAATTGTTATATCTTCTTAATGGATTGACTCTTCCATTATTATAAAATGTCAGTCTCTAGTAACAATGTTTCAAAGTCTGTTTTGTCTGTTAATATAGCTGCTCTAGCTCTCTTGGTTACTGTTTACATGGTATATCTTTTTCCATCCTTTTGCTCTCCACCTATTTGTGTGTGAATCAAAGCGTGTCTCTTGTAGACAGCATATAATTGGATCATGTTACTGTATCCATTCTGCCAATACCTGCCTTTTAATTGTAGAGTTTAATCCATTTAGATTAATGTAATGACTGATAAGGTACAATTTATGTCTGCCATTTTGCAATTTGTTTTCTAAATGCCTATGTCTTCTTTTGTTCCTCTGTTCCTCCACTGCTCCATTCCCTTGTATTAAATAGATATTTTCCAGTGTACCATTTTATTTCCTTTATCATTTCTTTTATTGCCTATTTCTGAGTTATTTTCTTAGTTGTTTGCCCTGGGGATTACAATTACCATCTTTATAACAATCTAGTCCAGGTTGGTACCAACTTAATTTCAGTAGTACACAAAAACTTTGTTCCTGTATAGCCCACCCCCCCCTTATGTGCTGCTTTGTCATACAAATTACATCTTTATACATTTTGTGACCGTCAACACAGATTTATAATTATTGCTTTATGTATTTGTCTTTTAAATCAGGTAGGAGAAAAAAAAGCTACACACAGAATATATTTATACTCTCTTTTATATTTACTCATATAGTTTTATCTTACCCACGTTTTTATTTCTTTATGTAGATTTGAGTTACTGTCTACTCTCTTTTATTTCAGCCTGAGGGGCTCTCTTTGGTATTTCTTATGGGATAGGTCTGCTAGCAATGAGTTCTCTGTTTTTGTTTATCTGGGAATGTTGTAATTCCTCCTTCATTTTTGAAGGATGGTTTTGTAACGTTTAGAAATTCTTGGTTGACAGGTTTTTTATCTGCACTTTGAAAATGTCATCTCACTGCCTCATGACGTCCCCAGTTCCTGATAGGAAATTAGCTGTTAGTCTTTTTGAGGGTTAGTGTACCGTGATGAGTCACTGCTCTCTGCTTGCAAATTTCTCCTTTTGTCTTTGGCTTTTGACAGTTTGAATATGATGTGTCTAGGTGTAGATCTCTTTGAGTTTTTCCTGACTGGAGCTCTTGAGCTTCTTGGATGTGTGGATTAGTGTTTCTCATCAAATTTGAGAAATTTCTGGCCATTATTTCTTCAAATATTCTTCTGTCCTTTTCTCTCCTCCCCTTCTGGGACTCCCATTATGCCTATGTTGGCACTGTTGATGGTGTCCCACAGGTCTCTGAGGTTCTGTTCGTATTTATGTATTGTTTTTTCTTTCCTTTTCTCAGACTGGATGATCTCAATAGACCTGCCTTTAAGGTGTTCTTTCTTCCACCTACTTGAGTCTGTTGTTGAGCCCCTTTAGTGAATTTTTAATTTCAGTTATTTTACTTTCAACTCCAAAATTTCTGTGTGGTTCCTTTTTATGATTTCTATCTCTTTATTGATATTCTCTAGTGAGATATCATTCTCATACTTCCCTTTAGTTCTTTAGACATGGTGTCCTTTAGTTCTTTGAATATATTTAAAATAACTAATTTAAGGTCTTTGTCTAGTAAATATAGTGTTTGGGCTTCCTCGGGGGCAGTTTCTATTAACCACCATTTTTTCCTGTGTATGAGCTAGACTTTGTTTTTTTGCATGCCTCATAATTTTTTGTTGAAAACTGGACATTTTAAATAATGTGGCTGCTCTGGAAATTAGATCCCCCTACTAGGGTTTGTTGTCTTGCTGCTGTTTATTTAGTGACATTTCTGAATAAATTCTTTAAAGTCTTTACATGCCCACTGAAGTCTCTGCTTTGTTTGCTTAGTGGTCAGCTAGTGATTAGACAGAGACTTAAATACTTAGAACCAATGAGTCTCCCGTCCTCTGGCTCTGTTTACATGTTGGGGCGTGCCTGCAGCACTCAGCCAGGCAGTTTACAACTATGAATCAGCTTTCACTTCTTGTTTGTACAGAGCCTCAAGGTTAGCCAGAGGTGGGAGCCTTAGGGCTTCTCAAGTCTGTCCTGGACTTGCCTACAACTCATGCACCTGGCCTTCTAGAGTCTCAGGAGTATATTAGAGCCTTTCAACGCTGCCCGCCCCTGCACACCCCCTTCCCTTCCCCTGCCCGCCCGGGACATCTCATTCCTCAGCTTTTCCTTTTCAGCTTTTTGGTTAGCCTATTGTTTGCCTCAGCTGTTAACCACTGCCTTAGGGAGCTGCCATGTAAAATAATTACCTCTGATTGTTTTCAACAGGCTCTTCTGGGGGAAAGGCTGGTCACACTGGGTGAGCTCCAAGTCAGGTCAAATAAAGATAGCCTTGCAAGTGGGGTCTTCCAGGGAACCACCAGACAGGTCAAATAATGACAATTCTCTGGATATGGGGCTTTTTAGAAGAATCTCCAACCCCTTCTGCCCTCTCCAGTGGCTGCCAGGCTAATTTTCAAAGTGGTTGTTTCACTCAAATTGCTGTTTTCAAGGCTGCTGTGGAGCTAGGGAGGGGAGAATAGGAATAAGGCAAGTTCAAATGCTGTGAAGCGTGCTATTCTTACTGAAATTCAGCTGTTTTTCTTGAATAAATGCTCTCCGATTGCTGAAGGCTTTGGTTAATTTCCAAAATTCTGAAGTTGATTGTAGTCATTTTGCCAGTGTTCTTGTTCCTTTTATGGAGGAAAAGATGTTTGGAAGTCCTTACCCTGGCATTTTCACAGACATCATTTTAATACAAAGAATTTAGCCCACAACTGAATACCAGAAATTGAAAAAGATTTTCTTATGGCATAGCTTAATTTTTTCTTAAGTATCATTTCTTCCACTCCTTTCTGGTAGGGGTAGCCTCTGTTACCAGCTTGGTCTGTGTTCTTTCAAACTGTGTTCTCTTGATTTCCTTTCTAATGTACTAATGCATCTGTGTATAATATGTACTTTATGAGGGTTTTCTAAACATATCCATTAACAGTGAGTGTATTTTGATTTGCAACTTGCTGTTTTTCCTGAACTGTGTTGGGAGATCTTTCTACTACACACTTAGAGACATATGTCAAATGATATGGTATTTCATGGTATGGAAATACTATCGGTTCCCTAACTGATGGACTTTTAGTTAGTTTGTAATGGCCAAGAAAACTAGAAACAATGCTACAACTAATCTCTTTGTACATGCCTCTTTATTCTCTGTATGAATATTTCTCTAGGAAGGCTATCTAGAAGTAGAATTGCTTTATTGTAGAGTATGTGCATTAAAAATTTTAAGAGTTACTTTAAAATTGTCTTCCGAAAAGGCTAAACCAGTTTATATTCCCAGCAGTGGTATGTGAGAGTATTACTCACGCTATTACTAGATATGGTCAATCTTAGAAATTTTTGACAGTCTGGGCAAAAATGATATTTTTCTGAGTTGTTTTAAATTTGCATTTAAATTACATTTGTGGGACAGCACCATTGCTACCCTAGTAAGTAATAATTTTTAATTCTTTTATTTCTCCTTTTTAGGGAATGGCATTTACATTACGGGAACGACAGATGCTTGGTCTTCAAGGACTTCTACCTCCCAAGATAGAGACACAAGATATTCAAGCTTTACGATTCCATAGAAATGTGAAGAAATTGAATGGCCCTTTGGAAAAGTAAGAGTTAATTAGATGTTTAGTTTTTTATTGATGATCTGATCAGAAAAATTGGGAATATTATGGTTATTATGGTATGAGAAATACACAGTCTCATAATGAAGTTTGTGTTTTAGTCAGTTATCTGTTACTTTTATAATGATTATGTTTCCTTCACTTCAGTGAATACTTCAGTTGTCTTCAGTACTGTAAAATTTAGCAGAAGTCAGTTTTTTTTTTAAAGATTGGCTCCTGAGCTAACATCTGTTGCCAATCTTTGTTTTTTTTCCTTCTTCTTCTTCTTCTTGATCTCCCCAAAACCCCCAGTACATAGTTGTATATTCTAGTTGTAGGTCCCTCTGTTTGTCCTGTGTGGGATGCTGCTTCAGCATGGCTTGATGAGCAGTGCCATGTCCATGCCCAGGATCCAAACCAGCAAAATCCTAGGCCATGAAAGTGGAATGGGCAAACTTAACCACTCAGCCATGGGGCCAGGCCTCGAAGTCAGTTTTTAATGCTTAAAAATCACAGGTCATTTCAAGTTTGAATGGAATTTTAGAAGCAAAGCCTTGTTCATCTGATTTGACCCATTCTATTCAACAGCTTGTATTGATTGCCTACTTTGTGTGTGCCACTGTACTAACCACTGAGGATATAAAGTGGGTAATAGATGGGGTGACCAGGTAATATATCATCCAATCCAGGACACTTTGGTTAATGAAAAAGAGGCGTGACTGAAACTGTCCCGGGCCAACTAGAATGTAGGGCCACCCAGGTAATGCACAGCTCTGCTTTCTAGGAGTTCATCAATAGATAGTTAGACCGTGACTGTCATTTTACTCTGTATTACAGTGTGCAGGACAATGAGGAAAAAAAGTACATGCAGAGTATATTCTGAAAGCATAAAGAGGGGCACCTAGCCCAACTTTGGGAATCAATTAAAAATTCCTGGAGGAAGTGATACCTGAGCTGAGTTTTAAATAACATGTTACAGGTAGCAGGGAAAATGAAAAAGAAGGGCAAAGTATTCTGGGTAGAGGGATCAGTCTGAATACAGGATTAAAAATATCTGTTGAGGGGCCGGCCCTATGGCCTTGCGGTTCCGTTCAGCGCACTCCGTGTAAATGGCATGGGTTCATGGGTTCCAATCCCAGGCATGGACCTACACCACTCATCAGCCATGCTGTGGTGGCATCCCACATATAAAATTGAGGAAGATTGGCAACAGATGTTAGCTCAGGGCTAATCTTCCTCAGCAAAAAAAAAAAAACTGTTGGGTTTGTAAAGTGTAAGAAATTATTGGTTATTGCTGACTGGCAAGAGTGGTTTTTTTGATGGGGCAAAAGGGTGACTAAAATAGATTGAGAAATGAATGAGAGAGGAGGAAATGCAGTCTCTTTCAAGAAGTTTAGATAAGAGGGGGAGGAAAGCCATTCACAGTAAGTAAAGCAGGACTTGGGTTTAAGGGGGTATATTTCAGGCCGGAAGGAAGTTGATTGTGCTCATAGCTGTGAGGAATGAGCCCAGGGGAAGGGATAATTGATAGAACAAGATCCCAGAAAAAGGAAAAGGGCATAGGGTGAAATGCGGAGGTAGAGAGGTTGGCCTTGAATAAGAAAAAAATAACTCAGTCTCTAAGGCAAGAGCAAAGAAGAGAAGTAAGGATAAACTATGCAGGTGCTTGAGCAGAGGGTGTGAGATCTCATCATTCTTGATGACCTTGACTTTCTTTACGATGTAGAATAGGAAGGTCTAGCTGGGATTTAGAAGGACCAAGGTTGAATAGAGTTGGTGAGGAGAGTGATAAATATTTGGAAGAGCCATTAGCTGTAAAGCAAAGCTCAACAAGGACAGGTAAAAGGGATGAGAGTAGACCCTGAAGGCCTGCTGGCATCGTCTTGTTTGTATTGATGCCATTCTGCCCAGCAATGTTATTTTTCTTAGGAAAGGTGCAGTATAATGTCGATTCAGCTTTGGGGTTTGCTGGGCTGGCAAGGATGCAACATAATCCATTCAGCTACTATTTCAGGGCTGCTCTGTGCCAGGCATTGTTCTAAGCTCTGGAACTACAACAATGAAAAATTCCAGCCCTTGCCTTCAGGGAGTTTGAGGGAGATGGAAAAGGCAGACAGTGTGGGAAAAGTAGTGCTGTGATGAAGATTTGAGGGGTTTTCTAAATGGTAATGATGGTGGCAGATTTATTCCGAGTGAAAGACTTGATTCTGGGATCCAGAGTGGGGAAGGAAAAGGAGCCAGAAGGGAGCTAATAGAATGGCAGGAGATGAAGCCATCAAGGAGCTAGAGAGCCCTCAAAGAACTATGAAGCAAGGGCTTTGTTTGTATAGCTAGCCAAAGGGTAGAGGGTTATGATCAGAGAGTGAAATAACAGCATTCAGGGTTTCTGAGCTACAACAGTCCTCGGTGAGGACAGCAAGATCCAACATGGGGCACTCAGAAGAGTGACCAAAGTGAAATGAATGAAGTGAAACTGATAAGGTCAAGGAAGTCCAGGAATCGCACTAACTTCCCTCCATCAAGTGCCTGGTAGGTCCTCTGTTCTTTCCTTAACATTTCTGCTGTCTGTTTCACAAAGCTATTCAGTCTTAATAGCCCAATTCTTAGTTTTCCTCCCCACACTGAGGAGAAATCTCTTTTCCTCTAATTTCTACCTATTGGTATTATTTCTGCCCATGGTAGCTACATAGAAAGTATTATTTCTCTTCTAAATGGAATCACTTCTCCTTATTTATTCACCAAGTATTTGCATACCAGTTGTATTCCACGTACTCTGCTAGTTCCTGGAAATATAGAAGTATATAAGGTGATAGTCCCTTATCATGATGTCATCTAGGCTGGAGGGAAGACAAAGTCAAGAAGTGGAGTGAGAGTTACAGAAGAGGGGGTAAGGTCTTATGGGACCTGATGACAAGAAAATGTAACGTGTGCATGTGTGTGATGGGGTAGGGGAACAGACAGAAAGGTACGCCCAGAGAGTGTGGCACCTGAGCTGCATTCAGAGAGCAGGACCATGCCTGAATGGAGGGTGTCCAGGCCAAGGGTGCATGGTAGGTAGCAGCTCCAAGGCCAGGCTTGTGAGGCATTTGAGGAACTGAAGTACATTCAGCATGAAGATGAAGCTGGAAAGGAGGCAGAGGTCTTGTTAACTATTTTAGGCACTTAAAGCCTCTTTAACTGGCATTTGGAAGCCATTCAAGGAGAACAGGAATTATCAGGGTTATATTTTTATGAGAAGAATAGATTGGAGCAGGGGAGCAAAATTGTGTGTATAAAGACTGGTTAGAAAGTTCTTGAGATAACCTAGGTGAGAGATGATCGTGGCTTGGATTGGGTTGGGGTAGAGGGAGGAAATAGGTGTATTTGAAAGATATTTAGCAGGTAGATTCTGTAGGACTTGTTGATTTATTATATTGGGGTAGTGGACAGTGGGAGAGGAAAAAATCAAGAATGGACTGCGATTCCCATTTGGTTAGATGATAACAAGAGGAGAAAGGATTTTGGGGAAGATAATGAGTCTATTTTAGACCTATTTAATTCAAGATGACTACTGGTTTTTCAAGCCAATATTTCCCTGTTTTCTAAACTTTATTCTTTAAAAGCCATTATCATATATATTTATATGAATTGACCTTTGTACCATCTCTGTGCTCTTTGTAGACTTTGTAATGCCTGTAAGCCTACTGGATTATAAACTCCATGAGGACAGGGGTCACTTCTCACATCCCTAGAGTTCAGAATAGTGCCTGGTACATAGTATTTAGTAAATATTTGAATGAATGCCACTTTATTTTGCTTCCTTATTTATATGCCAGTCACTTTGAAGATTAGTTCCTTAAGGGTGGGGGGGCCTCATGGTAATCTTTGCATTTCCAGTGCCTGGCACAGAGCCTGACTCACAGTGAGGGCTCAGTAAATGTTAGCTGTTGTTTCTGTTGTTATTCTCTTCATCATCTCTCATTTAAGTAGATTTTTATCTTTACTCCTCGGTGTTAAATAATGATAATTTAGGATTTTGTTTTCTGGGGTAGGTGGAGGGTCCTCAGGTTTAGATGTTTAGATTTCGCTATCAAAGGCCAAAACTTTGAATGTAATGCTGGCTGATGTAGACGTTATTTACTGTGCTTAATTTCAGATACATCTATATAATGGGAATACAAGAAAGAAATGAAAAGTTGTTTTACAGAATTCTGCAAGATGATATTGAAAGTCTGCTGCCAATTGTATATACACCAACAGTTGGTCTTGCCTGCTCCCAATATGGACACATCTTTAGGAGACCTAAGTAAGGCTTATTTTTAAAAATATTTTTGTAAATGATTATTATGTAGGAAAAATATCACTCTATAACACTTATATTTCTATTTTGTGTGTTGCAGTTTTATCTCAACCACGTTTCCCACCTCACAAAAGCTTAATTTGGACAAAAAGAGATTAATAAAAATCCAGCATGTTCATATCTATCATTTTTGTAGAAATAGCATCATTCATTCTTAACCGTCTTTAAGTTATTATGATTATTAGAGGAATTATGCATTTTTGTATGAAAAAAGTACTCTTAATTCTGGTGGCAGATTCTCCAGAATTATCATTAAAGTTTTTGACAATTTGGCTAAATTAAGAGATTGATTCTCATTGTTTGTCAGCTTCAATTTCTGTTGTTTGTTTATAAACTTTCACAAAGTTTAATTTCAAATAGTTCTAGCACCTCCAATTATTTTAAATGGAAAGAGTACTGGAATGGGCATTGACTCAAGTCTTTGAATAAGTCACTTTATTCCTTTGAATTTGGTTTTTTATCATAAAATGGGGATACTAGTACCTATCAGAGAGCTGCTGAGAAGGTCAGGTGAAGAAACTGATGAGATGGTTCTTTGTAAACTTGCAAGCATTATATAAATGCTATTTTTATTTAATTTGAATTTTCTTGCCTTTTTCCTCTAACCTATTATCATTTTTCCTCAATCCTTACATCTTCCCATGTTCTGCTTACATGTTGATACAAATGTAGAAATTCAAACAATGTGTGCTAGCATTTACCTTCCACCTCCCCTAATCTAGTCTAGTGGCTTTCAAACTTTTAATGTGCATACGAAACACCAATGGGACTTAATTGAAATGTTGATCCCTGCCAACTTTCCTCTTCTTCCCATTCCCAAGATTCTGATGAAAAAGAGAAAGGTCTGAAGGTCCGGATTTGAATGAACACTGTGGTGATGGTGTTGCAAGTATTCCCAGAAACTCACTTTGAGAACCTGTCTGTTCTGTCCTGTGTGCTGTCATCAATTAATGTTTCCAAACATTTCTGTGATATAACCCAGCTGTTCAGCTCTTACAGTTTATTTTTCACTTAGAGTAATGGTTCTCCATCCAGATGAAAGGACAAAGGGAAACTTAAAAAAAAAAATACTGATGCCTGGTCCCCACCCAAAGAGATTCTGATTCGCTTAGTCTAGAGTTGAGCCCAGATGTTTGTGTTTCATAAAAGCGCCTGGCGTGATTCTAGTGTGCACCCAAGGGTGAGAACTAACATGATACGTAAAGAGCGTGGCTTTTGGGTGAGGGCAGATACTGTGTATCATTTATGCAGTGGTTTTTTGTTCCTTTTGTTTTTTACATAGAAAATAGTCAGTAAATCTTGGTTGGTTAATTAATCTAAACTCCAGGCCAGTTAAATCAGAATCTCTTGGAGTGGGACCTTGGCATTTTTTTAAACAGTTTATCAGATTATTCTATTGTGCACCTATAGTTGAGAAGCTGTTTGAGCTGATTTGAGCTGGGATAGTGTAATGCCAAAGTTAAGATACCAGTGAGAAAGTTAAGTGTAAGACTCAGTAGTTGGAAGGCATTGGGGAACTGTCGGCCCTCATCTCTGCCTGACTTATTTTCTAGAACCGGTGTTTCTTTTTTTTCTCCCTTTTGTCTCTCTTCCTTTCTCCTTTCCTCTCTTCCTTTTTTGAAATCTGATGATCTCAACTGGATAACAATATACAGTGTGTTGAAAATAACTCTTCACTTTTTCCTAATGCTTCAAGGATGTCATGTTTTATATGAAATTACTGTAGTTTTCTCTCCTTTCTTAGTCCTTCAAATTTCAAATTTTCAGTTTTAGTGAGTTTTAACAGTAATTTTCTTGGCCTTATTATGGTCTCCTGCATTGGTGGTTTATCTTTATACTGCTTTTTCCTAGAGGTGTATTGAGTATTTTTGAACATGAGATGTGGTAACATTTCTTTTTGAGTAAAATGATCATATCATTTAATAATAATCTTTGTTGCAGCTACTGTCTGAGCAATGCAATTACAGTTTGAAGTAGTTGAAAATGTTTGAAAATAAACCAGTGTGACTTAGCTAAATCTGCTTGGAAATTATACTGTCTTGATGTTTTATTAAAATATCTAAATATTCCAGTTATGAACAAAAAATTAGAAAAAACAAAAAAAAACTGTTGTGAAATGCAAAGGTGTTTTTGTTCTGTTGCAGGGGATTATTTATTTCAATCTCAGACAGAGGTCATGTTAGATCAATTGTGGATAACTGGCCAGAAAATCATGTTAAGGTACTAATAGCACAACCTTCCTTTTCACAATGTTTTTTCTTTCCTTGTACATTACCTCTAAATTTCCAAGAACAGTTTTTCATTGTTGCTCTGATTTATTTTTACTTACATACATGCAGATTTAGTGCTCTGAGAAAATCACGATAGTAGTAATTACAAAATGGGTTACTGGTATGGAGTTTGACTCTGGGAAAGAAATTGGAGCTGGTACACAAGGTGAGCCTGCTCATGGTCAATACCTCTGGTGTCTCCTGCCTTCTCTATATCCCTTGTCTATTTCAATATTGTAGGTAGAGACAGTACATTAAAATGTCATAAAAACTTTTATTCTGATGGGTGGTGGAGAGGATTCGTTATGCCTTTTTTCTTCTAAATTTAAGATAGATTTAGATCCTTAAGCAAATATAAAACTCTTAGAGTTTCAAATTTAGCAAATATATTGGTCAATCTGGCTAATCTTTCATAAAATCTAATGACTTATTTAAGATCTTTTGGTAAGCTTTAGGGTTTACTACAGGAGTAATCTTATGTGCCTTTATTACGTCTTCCTTACCAAAATAATCTTTGATGAATAATCATGAATTCCAATAATCTAGAAGAAATTTGGTCGGATAATTAAACTCAAACAGTGTCATCTTAAAACCCTGTAGTTAAGTGTATTTTTTAATTCTAGATCTTTTTCTTTTTCACCATTGCTGAGGTTTTTCTTGTTTGGCCTAAGTTATGATTTTGGAGTAGGATGTTGTTTACTTCTAAACTCTTATTTTTCTCTTCCGGTTAATCTCTTTATCAGAAGTTTGCTCCTCTCTCCCTCTTTAGTCTTTGTGAAGATGTTGAAGTTGGTCCTCCCGTCAGAAGCATTCTGTTCCTAACCAAAGACAGAGGGTTATCATATCTAGATAATTCTCTTTTTTACATCTAGATCTAGAAATCCTAGAATTCTAAGTATGCTTGGTTGGTTTCCTTCGGAAGCTAGTCAAGAAACCATTTTATTTTTAAAAGTGAGAGTGAAAATATGCAAAGAGAATCTTTGTAAAACTGTTTTGCTTTAGTGCCCTGTTTTTAACAACTTTTAATTTATGTATTTTTTGTAACGAAGGCTGTTGTGGTGACTGATGGAGAGAGAATTCTGGGTCTTGGAGATCTGGGTGTCTATGGAATGGGGATTCCAGTAGGAAAACTGTGTTTGTATACAGCTTGTGCAGGAATACGGCCTGACAGATGCCTGCCTGTGTGTATTGATGTCGGAACTGATAATCCAGTGAGTAGAAGCATTTTCCCCCTTTGATCCTCCTGCCATGTTTAAAAAATGTTTTATTACATTCTTCTTTTGAGGATAATATAAGAAGGGAAAATTTTGTGATTAGATGTGTGTCTTAAACTCTGCTTTTAATGTTGATACTAATAATAGTAAATTAAGCCTGTTAAAAGTTTCTTGAAGAAAGGTAATAAAGTTTAAAAAATTTTATTAATGATTTTTTTATTTGGCAATTTTTGTTTTATAGAATATGTTTAAACTGGTTATATAACAAAGTGCTTTTATTTTTACATTTGGTCTATTTTATAGGCTCTCTTAAAAGATCCATTTTACATGGGCTTGTATCAGAAAAGAGATCGATCACAACGTTATGATGATCTGATTGATGAGTTTATGAAAGCCATTACTGACAGGTATTTTTAAAAAGTCTGAATATACGAAAGCATCTTAAATTTTTTTTAAAAAGGGAACCACAGTTTTGTTTTGTTTTCCTTTATCTCTTGTCAAGACAGGTAGGAGGAAATTAAATTTTTGAGAACTTTGGTTCTTTCCTGCGTGATTGGATGTGCTGATACATGGTGATACCCTTTATACTCTGCCTTCCTTCGTCTGACATCTTGAGGGAAGTCCGCACTCGCTGCTCCTGTCACACCCTCACTGTCTAGTTCTTTCAGCCCATGGCGTCCAGGTTGCTTCCACCATTCCAGCGAAACTCTGGTGCAGCTTTCATGTTTTAAACTCGCTGACCATTTGGTCCTCCTCTCTCTCCACCTCTCTGCAGCATCTGACCAGGTTTTTCACTTCTTTATCTTGGAAATTCTCTCTTCTCTCAACTACTAAAAGACTTTCCTAACTTGGTCTTTCTCCCACCTTTTTCTTTCTTTTGTCATCTTCACTGGTTCTTCTTGCTCTCTTTAGTTAAATGTGGGTGAGTATGTAGTTCTCTTCTCTTTGAGTCATGTAAGATATGACCTTTATGCATGTGACCCCTAAATCCATAAAACCCATCGCTGTAAGCCCACCTGTCTCTGAATCCTGCATTTCCAACAACTGGAATGCTCCATCTAGACATTTTGTTGTTTCTTCATCTTTATGTTCTTTCCAAACTACCTATCTTCTATATATCCAGCCTCTATTAATGGCAGTAACATTCACCCTATTGCCAAACCTTTGATCTTGGTGTTATCTTTGACCCTTCCTCCTTCTCCATCAACCCCCTACACACTGAGTTACCCCTTCACATCCCCTCACATACCCTACACAACCCCCTCAAATCCAGTTGGTGCTGCCACTCAAGTGCCTCAGAAATATATCTCCTCTTTTCCATTGCCATAGCCTTTCTGCAGATCTCAACTCTCTTCTGGATTCTTCTGAACCTTCCTCCAGTTTCTCTCCTCTCCAGTTCATCTCCACCTTACCACAGATTAATTTTTTAAAAACGTGTACTTCATTATGTCTTTCTTTTGCTTGAAATCTCTCAAGTGGTTTCCTATTGCCATAGGGTAAAGTCCAACCTGTTTGTGATCTAGCCCTGCTCTGGCTTTTAAATTACTGGTACATAGAAGATACTAAAAAATTAATTCCTTTTCAGAGTCCAAGCTGACGTATCTAAAACTAAGCTTTTCATCTTCCCAGAAATTGCCATCTCCTTCCCTTCTTCTCACTTCCCTACCTTTTTTTTTTTAAGATTTTATTTTTTTCCTTTTTCTCCCCAAAGCCCCCCAGTACATAGTTGTATGTTCTTAGTTGTGGGTCCTTCTAGTTATGGCATGCGGGATGCTGCCTCGGTGTGGCTTGATGAGCGGTACCATGTCCGCGCCCAGGATTCGAACCGACGAAACACTGGGCCGCCTGCAGCGGAGTGCGCGAACTCAACCACTCGCTCACGCGGCTGGCCCCCAAATGGTACCTTCTTAGTCATCCAGGTTGCCCTGGCATTTTAACAACTTTCCCTCACTTCGCAGTTGGTCCTCACCATCAAGTTCTATTTGTTCATTCTAATATCTCATAATTGTCCCTTTCATTTCCTGTGGCTTCTGCTTCAGATTTTCTTGTCATCATAGTAGCCTGCCAGCTGCTTCTCCTGTGTTTCTCATCTCTCCTGCACCCGTACGTGCTACACATCGCTCGCGGGTTTATCCTTCCTAAAGGGAGTCTTACACGAATTCTTCCCTTCTCTGAAGCCTTTTGTGATTCTACATCAATACAGAATAAAGTCCCCATTCCCTAATTTTGCATTCAAGATTCTCCCTTATCTGGTTCCAACCTGCCTTAACCAACTTCTCCCTTGTCCTCTCAGATAAACCCTGAAATGTATAGCCAGACTGTTGAAAATTCAGGGTCACCAAAATACACCTTGTTTTTCTTCGTAACTCTTTACTTATTGTTCTATTTTTAGGGCCCAAATAAAGTCCCACCTCATTTTCAAGCCTTCACTTACCCCAACTCACCAAGACAATTGATGTCTTTTTCTGAATGCCAATGAACTCGTACAGCAATTACTTTTTAACCTCTTATTTAACATATACTGTCCTGTGTTTCTCTTTAACTGCTAATGCAATGAGAATATACATATCAAATATATACTTTTTGAGACTTAGAGACAAAAATCTCTTCCTGTTTAGGAAGTTATTTTGTGCTTAAATGTGCTTGGCATCCTTCTAGGCACTTGGAAATAGTTTATACAGATTAATATTCGTTCATTTATAATATTCATTTTAAGCATCCCATAAATTTTTCTGAATCTATTAGATTTCTACATTTTGAGTCTAGTCTTTCATAGGCTCTGAAAATTGCCAGATGGCCTTAAATGAACTAACGTAATACATTATGTGTTTTTAAATGCAATCATAAGGAGTATTGGACAGGAAAGCTGTTCAACAGTGGTATTTTCAACACAACCGTTATGGGTTTTGCTGTTTTTAGGTATGGACAGAACACACTTATTCAGTTTGAAGACTTTGGAAATCATAATGCATTCAGGTTCTTGAGGAAGTATCGAGAAAAATATTGTACCTTCAATGATGATATTCAAGGTAAAGCAAAAAGAAAACCTCAAGTTTGTGATTCTTTTAAAAAATGTTTTTAGTGTGCTCATTTCTTACTTTTCAAACTCTTTATTTTTCTTCCAGGCACAGCTGCAGTAGCTCTGGCAGGTCTTCTCGCAGCACAGAAGGTTACTGGGAAATCCATCTCAGAACACAAAATCTTATTTCTTGGAGCAGGAGAGGTACTTTTTTGTAAGCTTTTAGAATTTAAAACCAACTCTCCTTTAGAATTGGAAAATGGGGCATAATGAGCTTATAATTTTGTTGAGATAGATGGTATGAATTCAAGATCTCTGTTGTAAAGTGGGTAATTTAAAATATGTTTAGAGAGAATATCACAAAGAATCAACTTTTGTGTGATTTCTAAGGGAAGAACAAACCAGATATTCTTCATACCATATAGTCTTCATCTATAAAGTAGTTCAAACATTGTGTCATATGCTAATCTTTATTTTTCAAATTTATGTTTTGTTGGACAGGCTGCTCTTGGAATTGCAAATCTCATAGTTATGGCTATGGTAGAAAATGGGATCTCAGAAGAAGAGGCACAAAAGAAAATTTGGATGGTTGACAAGTTTGGTTTATTATTTAAGGTAAGAGATTTAAAACTCAGAGAAGCAAAAGAATATTGTTATAGTGATATTTTAGTTTGATTTTTTTACGTATTACCAATTCTTAAAATCTTGTATAAAATCTTGTAACTCACTGGACTATCCACATTGTACCTGTTGAGGACCTTCCAGTATATTCACAACAGAAATCCTCCAGTTGCAGACTTTTGTCTTTTATAAAGACTGTTGCTTCATATTCAAATCATAATCTCTGTGTGGCACCAGATTTATTCTTTCTTGCTTTGTTCTCTGACTCTTAAGAGATCAAATAACCATATAAATAAGATTGTACTTGACCCTTCGAAAACTAGCTTTTTAATGGGAACTCAGAAGTTTCTAATTAAATTATTAGCAGGATATCTGATATTTGAGCAAAACTTCCTTAACCCTTTGGAGATATGATTCGCTGTAGAAATTTATGGACCTTTCCCCCAGAAAAAGGCACATATTCCTGAAGCCAATTCATGGATAATAAAGAGCTTCTAACCCAGATTAATTTAGTATTCTTTGGACCCGTCTGCCTTCCTAGCAAGCGTTCATGTGCTGGCGGGCTTGGGCCGCTGTGTGAGGATCCTCTGTTTTAGGAGCTGTGCCAGGGAGGGGCCACTGCCCTAGTTCCACTGCTTCCCGGGGGTCCAGTCCACCACCGTCAGATGGATAGCTGCCTGGATCTCTCAGGCATCCTGTTGTGCTGTGTAGGGAATCCTCTGTTGGTTAATGGATGTCTGTTAAGTTGTAACTTAGAGGGGAGCGACAGAGGGAACAACTCACTCCACCACGATGCTGATGTTGCTTCCTGCCTTCCTAGCAGTGACTGCCATTTTTAGTAGCTTAAGAAATGCCTTATATCTTTTATGCTGCATAACCCATTGAAATCTAGGTAAATGTGTCATGGTTGAACCTGTCCAGCACACAGTGCATTGTATTTTTGCTATATATAATGATACAGCAGTTACTTGTCATTTGCATCTTCAGAGCAGGCTTATCTCTGTGTACTTTGTTCCAGTTCTGAAATCTGTTCTTCTTTATTAGTTCCAGTATTCTATTAGTACAAAAAATTAAAGGAAAAATTAAAGTGTGTAAATGAAAAATCTTGAGTGCTTAAATTATACATAATTTAAAATAGTTTAAAACGTACCAGACATTGTGATAAGTTGTTATGGGTAGTATCTCATTTAATCTAAAAACTTCTATGAAATTTTACAAATGAGGAAACTGCAGTTTAAAAAGGTTAAATGACTTTTCCAAGGTCATCAGCTTATAAGCATTGGAGGTAGGATTCACACCCAAGTAGCCTGACTATGAAACTGTGCTTTTAACTCTTCAGCTGCACTGCCTCCCAAGTGAGCGATAACTGCCCTGTTTGCTTGTAAATAAAATGCAAGGATTATAAGACGTTGTGCTTTTAGAAGGTGGAGGGAGGGGAAAGGAGTGATATATTTTTTCTGATACACAGTTAGTTGGTGCTTCTTTTTGTGATGTTGGTTTTCACAAATATTTTGTGATGCTTTATCATATTTGTAACAAGTCAAGTCTAGAGTGAATATGGTATTGGTTGGCACAAGTAAGAATCCCTGTTCATCTGCAAGTTCAGAGTATATTTGTCTTTCGGGGTGTGTAAATAGCTTGACCTTTGGGTTTTAGGCTTCCAGTCTGTCCTGGTGACCCAAAACACTGCCCTCCTTTTTGAGACTTTGAGAGTTTCATGTTGAATCTCTGTATTGGCGAGTTGAGGTCCTCCTGGGGGCAAGCATAAGAAGCCACTGTTCAGAGAACAGGGATCTGTTGAGGCTGTATTTCAGTCCTTAAATTAACTTCCCAGCCAACTGCTGATAGTGTGCTGCTTTTTCCAGCCTCTGCTGGTTCTTACCTCAGGTTGTTTTGGAGTTCTGATGGAAGAATTCACCTCTGTAGGGGAGATCTTCTCTTTTACCAAAATTAAGGGTATGGATTTCTCAGGCTGGTTGGTTTTTGGATTCAGTATGTTTTTGCCTGCTTTAAATTGTTGAAAAATTCTTCATTGTTCTAGTTTGTCAGTGGTACCTCTCCTGGCTTTATAACACTACTAAAGTCATAATTTTTACAGTCTTTGACCTGGTATTTGGGGAGGAAACCATGTTTCTTCATTCAGCCATCTTGAACCAGAATTCCCTGTGCCTCTTTTTTCTGAACTCTTGGTAGTACAAATCCATGATGTCTATCTGAAATTCTGAAATCCTAAAAGCTCTGAAATCCCAAAGTTTTTTCTGAAATTTATTTGGTAGCAAATCTGACTGACCTGAACTTAGCTGGTAGCAAAAGCAGGGAGCATCTTTGTAGTCTTAACCTTTTGTACTTGGTGTGACTATTTCGTAAGTTTTGTTCAGTTGTGGGGTGCCCATTGTGAGACATTTGTAATATTTGATACATTACCATAATATGTTTCTAAAATATGAAAAATTTTGAATTCCAAAACGCATCTAGCCCAGATAAGGCCTCTGTGCCATACTGGATTTAGGAGGACTTCACAGAGTAGATAAGTTTTTGAGAGGGATTAGACAGTTTCTGGTTATAATGGGATTTGCTTTATGTTTTATATTTGGGTTTATGGATACTATGAAGATAGAATTGGAAGATATGGGTTGAAAGGAAAAGTAAATGAAAAGACATTCCTATTGTGGAAACAATATGTGACTCATATAATGATGTCTTTTCAATTAATCCTCAATAAGCGTGCACTAAAAAATATCAATTTTATCTAAAAATTCAGGGGCGGAAAGCTAAAATAGAGAGTTATCAAGAACCATTTGCTCACTCAGCTCCTGAGAACATACCTGATACTTTCGAAGAAGCAGTGAATATACTTAAGCCTTCAGCTATAATTGGTAAGTAAAGTTGTTGGCACATCATTCTATTACTTACCTGTCTATTGCTGGTCATAACTACCACGCAAGATTACTAAACATGCAATGACAGATTTTTACCTAGCTTTCAGCCTATATGATGTTTTCTGTGATAGCTTTTTGATTAGTGTGTAAATTTTGGTTAACAGATGTTACTTGTTCTTTTAAGTGGTAGAAGCTGTGCGATGGATCATGCTTTGCTTTAGAGTTGGTATGACTGTTGAGCTCACAACCTGAAAAAGACAAGGTATTTGACAGACTGTGCCAAGAAAATCCCATGCAGAGTCAGAGATTTTTGTTGGCAACAAAGTTGAAAGCTTTTCGTACATTTTGAGAGTCAGGCATTGCATAGCTGACATCAGCCTATGCCAGCACGGCATTAAGGTCACAGCAGAAAATGTAAAAGTCTTTAAAAGAGGAGCTATTTAATTTCCTATATAGCTGTAAGATTTGAATCTATAAGTTGTTTTGTTTTGGTTTTTTTTTCCGGTGAGGAAGATTGGCCCTGAGCTAACATCTTTGCCAGTCTTCCTCTACTTTGTACATGGGCTCCTCCACAGCATGGCTTCAAAGGCTGTGTGTAGGTCCATGCCCAGGATCTGAACCTGCAAACCCTGGGCCACCAAAGTGGTGTGTGTGAACCCAACCACTATGCCACCAGGCTAGCCCTGTATAACTTTTCTTGTAATTTTATCAGTTTCATGTAGGAGCCCTATTGAATGTTAAATAGTAAAACAGTCACAAACAGTAAGTTTCTGTGGTCAGGAAAAGTGTGTCCCTATTAGCTTTTCATTGATTAGAATTCATAATTTCTCAGAGCAAGAAGAAATCTTAAAGATCATCTAGCCCATTTCTCTTGAAACTCAACGTGGAAACCTACGAATCTGTCCATTGACTCCATCCCTGTGTGGTCAAGGAATCATAAAGAGAAAGATGTTTAATTCTTTTAGAACTCATGAACTCCTAAGAATATGTCCGTGTATCTCCACATGGAGAAACACTGAGTATAAATTCCTTTTTTCCATAAGAAAAACAAGCACAGAGATGCTAATAAGCAACTTGCCCAAGATTTGTGAATTCTTCGTATAGCCAGGAGTGACAGAGCAAGCACTAAAACTCTGGTCTCCAGATCAGTATTTTTCTTTATTAAATATCAGTTTATAAAACATAATTAAAGATTAATTATTTTGACTGTTGAATATAATCATTTTTCTGGATGAACTGGATAAGTACTCAGCTGAGGCATCGCTTGGTCATCCCCAGATTCTCACTGTGGGCTAAGTAGTCTTCCTTCGTGCTGTGCTTTCATAACACTTTATACTCAGCACCTATTACAGGTTTTCTGATTTCTGTTTACTGTGTTATTTTTCTCTCAACTATAAGCTGCCTGAATTATACTCATTTTTACATCCTAACGGCCTAATAAAGTGTCTAAGGCATTGTAGGGACTTAAGAAAAGGTCCTTAAACTGAACTGTGTCAAACTTTAGTCAGGATGATTTTTTTATCCCTTCTGAATTCCTACTATTTTCTAATGAATACTATAGAGTTTCACATTGTAACATTTGAGATGCAAGTTTCTATCTTTTTTTTACAATTTTAATTGTAGTAAAATACACACAACATAAAATTTGCCATCATAACCATTTTAACTGTATGTACAGTTAAGTAATCTTAAGTTCATTCACACTATTGTGCAACCAATCTCCAGAACGCCTTTCATCTTGCACAGCTGAAACGCTGTACCCGTTAAACAGCTACATCCCCCGGCAGCCGCCTTTCTACTTCCTGTATCTATGAATTTGACTACGCTAGGTACCTTACGGAAGTGCAGTCATACAGTGTGTGTCTTTTTGTGACTGGCTTATCTTACTTAGCATAATGTCCTCGAGGTTCATCCATGTTGTAGCAAGTTTTAACTTTTCAATTAGATTGATGGAGATAGTCTTATACTCTTTGTTATTTCCCACAATTTACCATGTCAGGGGTAGACAGTAACTATTTAAGTGAAAACTTGAAGCATTTTACTGTTTTTCTCTTCAGATTTGAGATTGTGTTCCCATGGCATTATCTCAGCAACAGGACGGCAAGATCTGTCTTTGCAGTGGGAGTTTACCTGTGCTTTTATGTTAAACCTGTTGTAGAAATGCTGTTGATAAGAATTGCTTTATTTCAGCTGTAATGAAGTTGCCTTTTTCCCCCTTGTTTATCATAGGAGTTGCGGGAGCTGGCCGACTTTTCACTCCTGAGGTAATCAAAGCCATGGCTGATATCAATGAAAGGCCTATAATCTTTGCATTGAGTAATCCTACAGCGAAGGCTGAGTGCACAGCTGAAGAAGCATATACACTTACACAGGTACTAATCAAAATAATTGTATGAAGTGATTATGTCTATTTTCCCTCTATTAGCCTGTTAGTTATACATTCTCACATAATTCTTTTAATGGTTACTCTAGAGATTACAGTGTACGTCCGTGCGTCATCAAATTCTGATATAAATTACTGCTTGTATCCATTCTAGAAAACTGTTACCTTATATCTCCATTTTAACACCCTCACACTTTTCATGCTATTCTTGTGCATTTTAATTCTCTCTATATTTTAAACCCCAAAAGACGTTGTTTTAAACAAAAATTATTCATTTAAATTTAGCTACATTTTAATATTTTCTTTTGCCCTTCCATCCTTCCTGCACATCTGTGCTTCCATCTAGGATCATTTTCCTTGTACCAGAAGAACTTTCCTTAAGTCTGGGTCTGATGAATTCTCTTGGTAATTTTTTTATTTTGCCTTCATTTTCAAGGATATTTTCACTGTGCATAGAAGTAAAAGTTGATAGATACTTTATTTTGAAGATATCATTCTATTGTTTTCTGATTTCTGTTTTCCTTTTTTTTTTTTTTTTAAAGATTTTATTTTTTTCCTTTTTCTCCCCAAAGCCCCCAGGTACATAGTTGTATATTCTTAGTTGTGGGTCCTTCTAGTTGTGGTATGTGGGATGCCACCTCAGCGTGGCTCGATGAGCGGTGCCATGTCCACGTCCAGGATTCGAACCCACGAAACCCTGGGCCGCCTGCAGAGGAGCAAGGGAACTTAACTACTCGGCCACGGGGCCAGCCCCTGTTTTCCTTTTGATACACCATTTTGTCTTGGGTTTTAAGCAGTTTTAGTACAATGGACCTAGGTGTGCTGTTCTTTATATTTAGTCCACCTGGGGATTGCAGAACTCCTGAATCTGTAGCTTTATGTCCTCTTTTTTGAGGGGTCTATTTTGGAAATATCTCTGATTTGGCCACATTCTCTCTCTCCTCTTGTGGGACTCCAAGTATGTGAATGTCAGACTTTTTTTTTTTTTTTTTTAACCATATCTCATATATCTCACACTGTTTTCTGTATACCATCCTGTGTGCTCTCTGTCTTTCAATATGGTGATTTTATTTGGACTTATCCTCCAGTTTGCATATTCTCCTTTTAGCTGTGCTAATCTGTTGTTAGGGTCTTAATTTTCTTGTATTTTTTATTTGTAGAATTTCTATTTGATTTTTTTTCTCTTTTTTTGCTGAGGAAGATTTGCCCTGAGCTAACATCTGTTGCCAATCTTCCTCTTTTTGTATGTGAGCAGCCACCACAGCATGGCCACTGACAGACAAGTGGTGTAGGTCCACGCCCAGGAACCAAACCCGGGCTGCTGATGGGAAACATGCCGACATTAACCACTAGGCCACCAGGGCTTGCCCTGATTATTTTTGTAATAATTTATTAATTTAGTGAGACAGACTTACAATGACATATTATAGAAATAACCAATTTATAAATACTGCTTTCTTGCCCTCATGTTTTATGAAACAATTCTTTTTACCCTCTTCAAATGTATCTTCACTATCAGTGTTTGTCTTTATGAGGGCCATTTTTTTGAGTCATCTGACAGCTGTCTGGAACAAATTTTTACCTTCATCCAAATCGTTTGATTTAGTTCTTTAACTCCCACATACCAATACCTAGCTTCAGAAATGATCAACTCATCGCCAGTCACATTTCTTCTGCATCCCACCCACCCCAGATTATTTTGAAGCAGATCTCAGACATCATATCATTTCATTATAAGTATGTCATCCAAAAGTTAAGGATTCTTATAAAAATATAATCACAGTATGATTATCACACCTCACAATTTTAATAATTTTTAAATACTTATTGATCCTTTTCTTTAGCTTGCAATTCTCTGCTAAAATTTTCTATCTTGTTTAATTTCTTGAATATATGTATCATAATTAAAGTCAATGTCTGATAGTAACAAGTATCTCATTCTCTGTGAGTCCATTTCTAGTATCTGTCCTTCTTTCCTCTTGGTTATTCAGTTCTCATCTTTCTGTAAGCCTAGTTTTATTATTTTTGTTGTTGTTGATTTATTGAGTGCTAGAGAGTGTGAATGAAGAACTGTAGTGATAATTTGAGGCTGTCGGTGAAGTTCTCTTTCTCCAGAGGGGTGTTACCTGTTCCTCTGGTGGCTGTTAGTCTGGGCTAGCTCACCGTCATCTCACCAGGATGCAGTCCATGTGATGCCTAGTCTCTTTCCACAGTTTATCCTTTTCCTGATGTGTACCCTCTGAGTATGAATTGAAAACCCTGGGCTATTTATTGGCACCCTCATCCCTCATGGTCCCTGAACTTGACTTTCCTCTCTGTCATCATGAGACTTCTGATAGCTTTGCTGCTCAGGCTCTCAGCCACAGATTTTGCTTTTGAAATGAGCAGTCTCCTTGAGGGGGAAGGCTTCAAATGCTGGGCTTGCACATCTTGCTTTCCTCTTCTTTTGGATCTTCAAATATCTCCTGCCTCCAAACTCTATCTTGGTAGCATTCCTGCTTCCTTGAAAAATACTTTTAATATATTTATCCACTTTTTCTCATTGTTACCAGAGGAAGAATTGGTACAAAACAACCTAGAAGACCACTACCAAGGCAGGACTCTCTCTCAGAACTTTCTTTCCTTTTTGGTGAGGAAGATTTGCCCTGAGCTAACATTCATGCCAGTCTTCCTCTACTTTGTACACGGGACACCTGCACAGCATGGCCTACAAGTGGAGTACGTCTGCACACAGGATCCAAACCCATGAACCCAGGCCACCAAAGCAAAAACACAGAACTTTAACCACTCAGCCACAGGGCTGGCCCCTTTCTCAGAAATTTCTGAACTTAATATTCATGGCTTGATATATGAAGCCTTCTTTTCTTTCTCATTGTGAAAAATTTTATTTTGACATATATATTGTCTCAAAATTCCTTTTTTTTTTTTTACCTTTTATTTATTATTATTATTATTTTTTTGGTGGATTGGCCGTGAGCTAACATCTGTGCCAGTCTTCCTCTATTTTGTATGTGGGGTGCTGCCACAGCATGGCCTGACAAGCCATGTGTGGGTCCACACCCGGGATCTGAACCCGTGAACCCTGGGCCACTGAAGCAGTGTATGTGAACTTAATGACTATACCACCAGGCGGACCCCTCAAAATTCCTTTAATTTTGTTAATCAGAATTAATTCTCTTGACTATTGGTTTCCAATGTTTCTAATAATTGCTGAAACATCTAATAATTATTAAAATCTTTTCTTTTGAAATCATCCACAAAATCTGCATACTGATTAAAAAAAAATCAGGCTTTGGTATACTGTCTTACCTTTTTACCAAAATATGGTATTACTTCCTGCTTGATTGCTCATCCTATTCACCAGTGTTCGCTACTGAAGGCTAATGGTTATTACCCCCAAAATTAAATCTTAGTCTTATACAACGACTGTTTGATAAATATACTCCATGTATCATGGGCTTTGGGATTTCCAAAATATAAAAAATTTAAATGTTTGGGGCAGTAGCAGTATATCCCTAGAAGACTGCTCAACATTTAGGAAGTTTATCTTTTTAATAAATGTTACTGTGATAGATGTACATTATTGAAAAGAATAAAAACTCCCCAGGGGAACTAGTTTGATATACTATATTCCATCAGTTATAAGATGAAAATGTTTTCACAGTTTTTATAACTTTGAAATTCTCTCTTAAAAATGGTAACGAGGCGGGGCTGGCCCCGTGGCCCAGTGGTTAAGTTCGCGCGCTCCGCTGCAGGCGGCCCAGTGTTTCGTTGGTTCGAATCCTGGGCGCGGGCATGGCACTGCTCATCGGACCATGCTGAGGCAGCGTCCCACATGCCACAACTAGAAGAACCCACAACGAATAATACACGGCTATGTACCGGGGGGCTTTGGGGAGAAAAAGGAAAAAATAAAATTTAAAAGAAATAAATAAAATTTAAAAAAAAAATGGTAACGAGGGGGCGGCTCCGTGGCCGGGTGGTTAATTCACGAGCTCCGCTGTGATGGCCCAGGGTTCGGATCCTGGGCGAGGACATGGCACGGCTTGTCAGGCCACGTTGAGGTGGCGTCCCACATCCCACAACAAGAAGGACCTGCAACTAAGATACACAGCTATGTATGGAGGGGGGGGTTGGGGAGATAAAGCACAAAAAAAAATGGTAACGCATTTTGTCATAATTTAATTTTACAGAAATTCTTAGTGTTACATAAAATAATGGCATAAATTTATAGATTTGCAGTCACCTCTTAAATTTTTGATCTCTTTTTGTTTTCGGTGGAGAGTTGTTTTGATGTTCCTCTAACACCCTCTGCTGCTTAGTCAGAAAAACTTTTTTCCCCCCAATGTTTTTATATTTTAATGGCCAGTCACTCATAGAACAAAGAATAGGTCAACTTGGACTTCAGAATGCAAATACTGTTATCATCAAGATCTGGCCACATTTAAGCCATTGGTCTATTATGAATGAAAAAAAGAAAAGGATGGCCTGGAGAAGATAGACTGCTGTAGAATTTTGCCATTCTGGAGAAGATTCACAAGATCTTTGTAAATCTCCAAATTTATTCATATAATGACAACATAGCATTTTTCCCATAAAGAGCTATCTTGTATAATTTATAAAGCTATTAAAAATACTGGTGCCACAAAAATAATCTGTATTATTATACACATTATTATTGTGGTAACATGTATGGCATTCACCATGAAATAACCTAAAACCTAATCTTCAAAGAAACATTGTTGTCACAAGGAGAGCTATGCTTAGAACAGGTAGAGAATAATAGCTCCCTATAGAAAACCATACAGCTGTCTGGAGTTGTGGGTCCAGGATAGTCACCTGGGCCCACCACTGGCAGAGTTAACTTGCTTCTACGCTTAAACCTTGTATCATTTTGAAATTGAAAGTATGTCTTGTGAAAGTAATAATTACTATACATTGTGGACTTTCAGATTGTCCAAAGGCTCAAATACTTGAGTGTTAAATCCACTGATGCCAAGGGTCTGTTATATTTCAAAGAATAATCACTCTTGGTATAATACACATTTTTAGATCTACAGAAAAGCAGACAAAGCAAAGGTCTAAACACATCATAATTCTACTGAATGTTCAGGTGTCATGTCAGTGACAAAACAATATATAAAGTATTTCTAAATTAACTTTCTGGTACTTTTTAATTTTGTGGGCATCTAATTCTCTTAGAAAAACTGAATGTGTTAGTAGTATTTATTATATGCCATTCTAGAGCACAGTACTAAAATTGATGTATACAACAAATTTGGAGACTCATTTTTATTTAACAAGGCAACATGCCATGTTTTTCTGAGGTAATAGTGTGGTTATACAATATTCTTGTGTTATAAACTGCCTAACTGGGGGGCATTATAGCACACTAACAGACCACAGGCTTTGGAGTTATAAAATATCTGGATTCAAGTTGAACTGCTACCATTGTGAGTGTGACTTTTTACAAAGTACTTGGAAATAGCTAAGCCTTAGCTTGCTGAGATTTTTTCTTTTATATCAGTGAAATGGAAATTATGGTGATCTCATAAGGCTTTTGTGTGGGCTAAATTAACTGAGTTAACACCTGTGGGGCACCTGGTACAGTGGCAAAACCAGCAAATGTACAGTCAGTGGTTGCCATTTAATATTTTTGATGTTTTCCTCTTCTTTCACAGATGTTTACAGCAACTTTTATTATTGGCGATGGTATTTGTTGGCCCTCTACATTTTTAAAGAAAATAGAAGCGTTAGGTTTTTTAAAGTTAACTAATGGACATTTTTCAACTTTATTTGCATGTATGCTATGCACAGACAAACTTCATTCCAGTAAGGGTTTTAAGGAGAAAATCATGTTTTATAGTAAATTTATGCCTGTTTGTTAGTAATATATTGGTCTACTTTACTACAAGATTTAACTTTGGGTGAATTTATCTCAATTTTCTAGTCCCCATAAAGTAACAAAATTGAGGTTATTTCATTTCTTAACAGGGAAGGTGTTTGTTTGCCAGTGGCAGTCCATTTGGGCCAGTGAAACTCAGCGATGGGCAGCTCTTTACCCCAGGTCAAGGAAACAATGTATATATTTTTCCAGGTAAATGCCACATTATTTGTTATAGAGTAATAATTACATAAAAATACTTCATGAAATTCTTTAGAATTTAAGATTAAAACGAACAACAGGATTTTGGTATGAATGTACAAGGAAACTCGAGGAATTCAGTGCTCTGTTTCCACTGAAAATGTATTTATTCATACCATTAAACTTGTTTTTATTATAGAAATAATGTGGTACATGGTTCATAAAAATGCAGAAGGAACAGAATGGTTTAAATATTTAACCCTCTTGATCTCCTCTTGGTACCTCCTTATCACGCTTCTCAACTAGAACCACTGTCACTGGTTTGCTTTGAGCTTTTCTGGCAGTTGCCATCATGACTGATACACTGATCTCCCCTTACCTTGATTCTTCCAACTCCAGACTGTATGTGTGAACTTCCCCCTGTGAAAGAGAAGCAATAGTACACACATACCTCCTAACACCTTGCTTCCTCTCTCCCTCCCAATTTGTGTTACTGCTTTTAGTTTTCCTAGTAGTTACCACCTCAATTTTGGTTAGTTAATAATTGTGGAGCAGTTTTCTTTGACATTCGCGTCCTGTTCTGTTGTTTTCCATGCTCGTCTACGGATGGATTCTGAAATTACGTGATTATGTCATTCATGTCTAAACAAGAGGGTGATTTGATAAATATAATGGAACATGCCATTCTACATCACAAAATTTTTACGCTCAGAGTCTTTGAAGTGTCAAGTATAATGAATCCTCCTTTAATTTCTTGCCAGCTTTCTTCGTTTCTCCTTGATCCTACTCCACAACAAACTGCTTCTTGTGTCCCGTGTTCTTACTCTTCTCTCGTGTGCATGTGCACTGTTCTTCTCTGTCTTGGTCTCATTTTTCTGGAATACATCTTTGAGTAAGTTTTTTTTATAAAGCATGGACAAAAACTTCCTGAGTTTTTACATATCTGAAAATGTCTTTATTTTGTCCTCTTGCTTGATAGTTTAGTTGAGTAGAGATTTGTAGATTCAAAGTCATTGTCTTCAGACCTTTGCAAACGTTTCTCCATTCACTTTTCGTGGCCAGTGTTGCTGATGAGAAATCTGTTAGTGAGATTCTCATTCCTTTATACATACTAGCTTTTTCTCCCTAAAAAGGTTTAAAATTTTTTTCTTAATCTTTAGATTTCTGAAAGGTTAGTGGGAAGCATCCAGGTTTGGGCTTATTTCCATTTATTATGCATTTCTGTAGGCAGGCCAATTCACTGTATTGTCTTTTACAAAGGACTTTTTTGGTTTTTGTTTCTTTCTGTTTTTCCCTTATGGAACTTATTTTAGACCATGGTCAAATCCCTGTATTGTCCTTGACTTGTAAATTTTATTTCATATTTTCACCTCTGCCTTTTTTATTCCATAAAATGGGGGATTTCTGTAGTGTTCATTTGTTCATCTGTATCTGTTCTGGTTTTTAGGACTTATGGTATATGTTTTGTTTCAACAGTCTTTTTTCTTTTTATTATGGAAAATTTCAAACATAGACAAAAGTAGAGGGAAGAATGAAGTCCCACGTTCCAGTCTCACACATTTTAGCAGTTACCATCATGTAGCCAGTCTTATGTAATCTATGTTCCTACTGACTCCACCTTCCCTGAGCTATTTGAAGCATATCAGAGACATCCTATAATTTCATTAATAACTACTTCAGTATGTATCTCTAAAAGAGTAAATTTAAAAAAAATTAAACATAACCATAATACTGGTATCACACCAAAGGAAATTAACAGTGATTGCTTAATATCATATATCATCAATTCAGAAAGTTGAAGTGTTATTTTTGTATTCCCATACCTTTTTAAATCCTAGAATCACTCTTTTTTAATAGCCACTTTTACTTTTTTTTAAGATTGCAGTATCCTTTCTGATCTCACCAGAGAGTTAATTAAGATTCTTTTAAGTATTTCTTCCTTTGTGCTGTTTATTTTCCATAAATTTCTGGTTATCCTTAGTTGTTTATTCATTTTAATGAAAGACTATGTAAAATAGGAATTTGGTATGAATTTCCTTTGTACTTGTGTCTTTCTCCTTGAGGGCCCCTCCTGGAATAGCTGACAGCAGGGTCTTAACTAAGATTTCATGACAGGTAGATTTTTACCATACGTAGGCTAGCATCAAGCAGGCATGTTATAACTGTTATCAAAGTAAAGATGTTTAGCCTGTGAATATCCTAGTGCTTTTGTATGTGAACTTCCCTCATTTTCCCCCGTGTAGTTGTGGTTGTCTAGAGTTCTGCCCCGATTGGCTCTTGACCCAGCATCTATAGTAGAAACTCTCCTGTCACTGATGATCTCTTTCTAGAACTTGATAATGCTCAAAATCAATCTGCTCCATCCAACAATATTTCTATGGCATAAAGGCATAAGAGCATGGAAGAGCATTCTTTTCTGCTGATTTTAACAGCCATTTTTATATCATATTTGACTAAGAAGGAATTTGGCAATTGATTACTTTTATACTACACTTCAAAGTCCTAACTTTGTTAATAACAGTAATTAGCAATATAAATTTAGAGGTAAAAATGACGTGGTAATGGAGGTTAAAATGGGCTTAAAACAAGGAGGATTGGCCTAAAGTCTGTTAATAAAGCAATTAAAAACTTAAGGTTCTGGTACTGTTTGAATTACCTAGTCCAGCAATTATAATGACTGGATGATATAACCACAACAATAAAACCTTAAAAGGGTCAAAATGCTAATAAGATGCTGACTAATAAAATATTGGAGAATTCTGGATCAAGATTAGGGAGAGGAGTAAGCCCAGAGGTGAACCAGCATTTGAAGGAGTTTTGCACTGCAAGCATTCTCTGATCAGGAAGGTGGCTGAGAGCCAAAGCTGTACTTTTCGTGGAGGGAAGACAAGAGCTGGAGTCTGGCACCTGCCGAGGATGGGATCCTAGTGAACCACCTCCCATTTGGGGCTGAAACTCTCAAGAGCTGGCCCTTGGAATATGGGTGGAGTTTGTATATGCCATCAGTGATCTAGAAAACCTCAAGCCTTTGCTTTGGCCTGCCAGTGCCCACAAGTCCCTGGCAGAAGCAAACAGAAATCTTCTCTGGAATTAGATAACACTATGCTAGCCTTCAAGTTACTTTTACAAATAAGTTTTCAAATACAACCCCAGTTAAAAAATAAAAGATAATGAGACATTTGAGGGAAACAATAGAAAGAATAAACAAATGGGACTTCATCAGACTAAAGAGCTTCTTCAAGGCAAGGGAAAACAGGATTGAAACAAAAAAACAGCTCACTAATTGGGAAAAAATATTTACAAGTTATTTATCCGACAAAGGGTTAATCTCCATAATATGTAAAGAACTCACACAGCTCAACAACAAAAAATCAAACAAGCCAATCAAAAAATGGGCAGGGGACATGAACAGACATTTCTCCAAAGAAGAGATACGTGAATGGACACATGAAAAGATGCTCATCATCACTAATCATCAGGGAAATGCAAATCAAAACTACACTAAGATACCACCTTATACCTGTTAGAATGGCAAAAATATCCAAAACCAAGAGTGACAAATGTTGGAGAGGCTGTGGAGAAAAAGGAACCCTCACACACTGTTAGTGGGAATGCAAACTGGTGCAGCCACTATGGAAAACAGTATGGAGATTTCTCAAAAAGTTAAAAATAGAAATACCTTATGACCCAGCCATTCCCACTACTGGGTATCTATCCTAAGAACCTGAAATCAGCAATTCCAAAAGTCCCATGCACCCCTATGTTCATCGCAGCATCACTCACAATAGTGAAGTCATGGAACCAACCTAAGTGCCCAGCAACTGATGATTGGATAAAGAAGATATGGTATTTATATACAATGGAAAACTACTCAGCCATAAAAAGGGACAAAGTCGTCCCATTCACAACAACATGGATAGACCTTGAGGGTATTATGTTGAGTGAAATAAACCAGACAGAGAAAGATGAACTCTGTATGACTCCACTCATAGGTGGTAGTTAATATATAGACAAAGAGAACTGATCGGTGCTTACCAGGGGAAAGGGGGGGGGGGGGGGGGGGAGGGCACTAGGGGTGAAGTGGTGTACCTACAACATGACTAATAATGATGTACAACTGTAATTTCACAAAGTTGTTAACTATCATAATCTTAATAAAAAAAATTTTTAAGCTTAAAAAAAAAAGATAATGAGACATATAAAGCAGCAAGACAACACAAGCCAAAAGTAGCAGAAACAACTAGAAAACTCTGGAACTCTAGATATCAGACAAGTGCTATGAAGCAAATATGTTTTTATGTTTACGGAGATAAAAGTCAAGCTTTAAAAATTCAGCTAAGTAATACTAAAATCTAGAATTGAAAAATACAATAAATTAAGAACTCAGTGAATGAGGTTTATAGCAGATTAGACCAAAGAGAATTAATAAACTTGAGGATAGACCAGAAGAAAGGATCCAGAGACCAAAAAAGGAAAATATAGGAAAACAGATAAGATATATTCCTTTAATCGATAGGCTTTTAATTGAAGTCCCAACAGAAGAGAGTGAGAATGCAGCAGAGGCAGTATTTGCAGGCCTCGTGGCTGAGAATTTCTTAGAACTGATGAATGTCATCAATACACAGTATTCAGGAAGCTCAGTAAAACCCATGCAGGATAAATAAAAAGAAACCCACACTTAGGAATATCATTGTGAGGCTTCAGAAAATAACAAGGAGAAGACTATGCGGCCAGAGCAAAAAGATTTCCTTCAAGAAGCAACTGGTAGAATGACAACTGACTCCTCCACAGGACAAGATGCCAGAAGGCGGTGGAATGAGCTATTTCAGTTGCTCAGACAAAATACTAAGCTGGAGTTCATTACACAGTGAAAATATCTTTCAAGGATTAAGGCAAAATGAAGGCATTATTAGAAAAACAGAGGATTCACCACCTGCAGACCTGTGAGAAAGGAGAAGAAATTCTAAAGAGTGTTCCTTAGGTAGAAGAAAAATAACCCTAGCTAGAAGCTCAGAGATGTGGAAGGAATGAAGAGCCAAGAAAGTTGTGAATCTGTGAGTTAAACAAAATGAATGTTGTATATAGAGAGCAAAACAATAAAACGTGGGATTTTGAAAAATACAGAGACAAAACTAAAATACACAATAGTAATAGCCTATCAGTTAAATAAACTGTTACAAGGGACTTGCATTGTCTGGTAGGAGGGTACATTAAAACTAACATGGAATTTTGACAAGGGTGCATCTTACAAATTTTAGGATAATCACTAAAAGAAAAACTTCCAAACTTCGGTAAGAGAATGTTAGGGTAGGAAATGAAATGATTAAAAACAAAATTCAAAAGGCAAGAAGAGGAAAAGGAACATGGAATAGACAAGTCAAATATAAGAATACAATAGATGTTGCCCCATTTAAGTAACCACATTAAATATAGATGGAACAAATGCTCTACTTTAAAAGATATATATATTATCTGAAAGCTAGATCAAAATAAGAGGCTATTAACCACCTGATCTTCTTCCCGTCCCTGGTTAATTGGGTGACCGTATTTCCCCATTCTGGTCAAAGATTGTTGCAATACTTTTTTTTTTTTTTGAGGAAGATTAGCCCTGAGCTAACTACTGCCAATCCTCTTCTTCTTGCTGAGGAAGACTGGCCCTGAGCTAACATCCATGCCCATCTTCCTCCACTCTACATGTGGGACGCCTACCACAGCGTGGCTTTTGCCAAGTGGTGCCATGTCCATACCCGGGATCCAAACCAGCGAACCCCAGGCTGCCAAGAAGCAGAACGTGCGAACTTAACCACTGCGCCATGGGGCCGGCCCCTGTCGCAATACTTTTTGAGTAATTTAAAACAGAGAATTGCTAGACTGGGAGTCACCAGACATAGTTGAGGACAGAGGTGCCAGAAAATAGGGAGATTAAAAGCCAGGTGACTCCAGCGATGCTCAGAGTGGGCAGGCTCCATCCTGGTGCTCATAGCTAACAATCATTTTTTTAGTTCCTAACCCTTATATATGAGAAACACTAAAAGACTGCTAGTTATCTAAGGAAAATCTCTAATGTGAACAATTTCTTTCATAAAAGAGACTAAAGTAGACAAATAGAAAAAAGCAGTTTAGGAAAAGGGGCCGGTCCTGTGGTTGGGTAAGTTCACGTGCTCTGCTTCGTCAGCCTGGGGTTTGCTGGTTTGGATCCTGGGCGCAAACCTACACAACGCTCATCAATCTATGCTGTGGCGGCATCCCACATAGAAGAACTAGAGAGATGTGCAGCTAGGATATACAACTATGTACTTGGGCTTTGGGAAGAAAAAGAAAAAAAAGAGGAAGATTGGCAACAGATGTGAGCTCAGGGCCAACTTCCTCACCCAAAAAACAAAAAAGCATACCAATAAAAGGAAAAAAGCAGCTTAGGAAAATATAAGGATTATGTGGGGAGAAGAAAAGTTAAAAAATAAACTATCCGTGTCCTCATAGAGACAAAATATTATATTCCAGAAACAAGACAGAATTTTTTTTTTTTAAATTAGAAAACAAAAATGAGCTCTTGAAAATGAAAAGTTTGATAGCAGAAGGATTATAAAAACAAGTTGAGGGGCGGGCCCCATGGCTGAGTGGTTAAGTTCACACGCTCCGCTTCAGTGGCCCAGGGTTTCCCTGGTTTGGATCCTGGCGTGGACATGGCACTGCTCATCAGGCCATGCTGAGGCGGCATCCCACATAGCTGAACTAGAAGGTCCTACAACTAGAATATACGACTGTGTACTGGGGGGTTTTGGGGAGAAGAAGATGAAAAAAAAGATTGGCAAGAAATGTTAGCTCAGGTGCCAATCTTAAAAAAAAAAAGTTGAAGTCACTTAGAAATTGAGCAAAGAACAGGAGATGGAAAACAAAGAAAAGAAGAAAATGAGAGGACTAGTCCAGGAGGCACAATACCAGAAAACAAATTTCAGGGAGAAAGAACAGAAAAATGGAGGGAAGGAAATTATTAAAGACTTCATGAACATTTCTCAAAACTGAAAGACCCAAGTTGCCAGATAGGAAGGGCCCACCCACCAAGTGCCAAACATGGTGGGTGAAAGTAACCCACCTTAAGGCACATGATTGTCAAAATTGCAGAATGTTAGGTACAAAAAAAAATCCTACACACTCCCAGAGACACAACAGAAAGATAATCACTGAAAAAGGATCTGGGATCAAATTGGCATTGGACTCGCCAGCAACACTGGAAGCTAGAAGGTATTGGAATAATGCCTCACAGTTCTGAAGGAAAATTATTTCCAAACTAGAATTCGAAACCCAAGCTATCAAATGAGTGGAAAGTAGAAAAAAAAAAAGGGGGCGGGGGGATGCAGGATTTCAAAAAATGTATCTCCCATGCACTATTTTTCAGAAAACTACGGGAGAATATATCCTGCCAAAAAGAGGGAGTAACCAAAAACTAGGAAGAAGCAGGATTTAGGAAATGGACCCAACTTGGAAAGAAGCAAAGAGAATCCCCATAAAGATAAAGGGATTTTCCAGGATGACAACTCTGTATGTGGGCTGGAGAGCCGCTGGAGCAGATCGGAGTTTCAGCAGAGATTTATTCTAGAGAATGAAATTAGAGAATCTGTGAGGTGGCTGAAATAGTAGAAGATTTAGACCATTGAGTGAGAGTCTCAGCGTGAAATAATTTTAAGTGCTGAAAACTCAGAGGAACCTACAGCAGGACAGTAACTTCAGGAAGATAAAAAGTTACAGCAGAAGAGGGAAAGTAATCATGATACACTGTTACTACATGGCTCGGCTGCGAGTAGCATTTATGAAGTCATAATAACATAAACATTGAGTATGGACTCAACTCAAATTATGCTCTAACTGTATTGGGAAGAAGGGAGAAGGCTGGAAACATGAAAGAAAGCTAAATGCTTATTTTCCACAGGAAGGAGTCAGTGAGTCAAAAGTCAATGAGAAGAATATAAGCAAGCTGTTTGAGCGAGAGAGAGAAATACTAAAATCATCAGCTGAAAGAATTGAAAGCACTTGCCTCTGCACAGCAAGCAATGGAGGGTTGGAGGCGGGCTGGGGATGGATGTTTTGTGTAACAAGTGTTAATGAATTGGATGCATTTGAATTTTAATAAATGTAGAACTAAATTGAGAAAACCCATTTGGTACTTCTCAAGTTATTTGTTGTAGTAGATAATTGTAACAGTTAAAGATCATTTGATTTTTAACTCTCAGATTTCTGTTTTCTCTTGGCTGCTTTGTTTTGGGGGGGGACGGGGTACTGTTAGGGGTGGGAGTGAGTTACCATTAATTTGCTTTAAATGGAGGAATTTATTTGGCTCCTTTCATAATTTGAAAAGTAACCTGACTAAATAAACTATTTAAAATGTGTTCTAGGCGTGGCTTTAGCAGTTATTCTCTGTAACACCCGGCATATTAGTGACCATGTTTTCCTGGAAGCTGCAAAGGTAAATGTTTTAAATACTGTTTGGTTATTTTATAAAGGATGAATTATAGAGATGAATGGATCTTAATTAAAAGCAGAGAGAGAATGGGTTAAGTCTGCCTTATGAATGGAAAGGAAGTTACTCATCTATTGCTTTTTTGATCTGCCCATCTACTTTTGCATAGAATTACTTTTTTTCAAATGTTTGAGTGTAAGCTAGGAATCCTTTCATATTTCTAACACATATACTATACTTGTATTATAGATATCTGAAGGTAGCATTGTGAGAATAGATAAACTATAACTCTTTTTTTTTTTTTTTTTTTTTGAGGAAGATTAGCCCTGAGCTAACATCTGGCACCATTCCTCCTCTTTTAGCTGAGGAAGATTGGCCCTGAGCTAACATCTGTCCCCATCTTCCTCTATTTTGTGTGTGGGACGCTTGCCACAGCATGGCTTGATAAGTGGTGCTAGATCCATGCCTCGGATCCGAACCAGCAAACCCTGGGCCGCCAAAGCAGAACACACCAACTTAACTGCTACACCACTGGGCTGGCCCCAACTCCTTACGTTTTTTTAATAGACAATTACTGGTTTATTTGGAGTGCTGGCCTATTGGAGTTTCCAGACTTTGCGATGAGTTTTGAAGAACTCACATTAATACAAATGTTAACGTCTCTTTTCGTGTGGCTATTGTAATTACAGCAAACCTTCTTCGTATTAAGTAGAATATGTCAATAAGTCTTTAAATCTGGTTGTTTCTTTATTGTTAGTAATGAACAGTTATTAAAACTGTTCTGCAGTGGTTTAAGTGTATTCCTGCTAGGAAAAGGGAGGATTATGATACCTGTATCTCCCCCAACCCTTCTTACCATTTTATTAGGTCCTCTTTATTCTGTGTTATTTAAACGAAAGGAAAATGTTGTTTTTTCCTCCTCAGGCACTGACAAGTCAATTGACAGATAAGGAGCTCGCTCAAGGGAGACTCTACCCACCACTTGCTAATATTCAGGAAGTTTCTATTAACATTGCTATTAAAGTAAGTAATAATTTATACCTCTTCACATAAATTTTAATGGTGTTTTCTTATGCAGTAACACAAGCTTATTAGAGAAAAATCTGAAACATTTAGAAGGTGCAAAGCAGAAATTTTAGGTCACCTATATTCTTACTACCAGAATGTAACCCATATTATTATTTTGGATTTCGTGCTTCTAGTCTTTTTTCTTCCCAGGTACATAGATATACACACACATGAACAGTCAACTGTGCCTATTTTTATAGTTGGTTTCTCACTGCACTTTTTCCACTTAATATATTATGAGCCTTCTCCCATGTAAATGAATAATAACTGCCAAATTATTGTTAAATATTTCAGGGAAAAAGTACTGATTTACATTGCACCTGTTAGGTGTGAGTCTATCTGTTTTCCCACACTTTTGCCAGTACTTAGAATTATTATTTTTTTAATCTTGCATATTTATTAGGTGAAAGTATCTCATTTTTATTTAAAGCATTTACTTTATTATTAGATTGAAAAATTTTTGTGTTCCGTGAACAATTGCATTTCTCCCATGAACTGCTCCTTCACGACCTTTGCTTGTTTCTATAGTATGACGTTTGTATTTCTACTTTCTGATACTGATTTATAAGGGCTCTTTATTAAGGGTAGTGATCCTTCTGTTTGCTCTGGCACGGGCATTTTCCCATTTGTTATTTATTTTAACTTTCAGAATTGTTTGACATGGATTTTTCAAAGTATTTTTAATGGAAAGATCTGTTGTTTCCTCATCTCTTATGAATGTTAGTGCCTTCTCCCACTCCAATATCATATAAATATCTACCTGCATTTTCTAATAACATAAAGCTTTTTTTTTTTTTTGGTGAGGAAGTTTTGTTCTGAGCTAGCACGTGTTGCCAGTCTTCCTCTTTTTTTTTTCTTTTGCTTGAGAAGATTAGCCCTGAGCTAACACCTGTGCCAGTCTTCCTCTATTTTGTATGTGGGTCACCACCACAGCATGGCTTGATGAGTGGTGTATGTCCACGCCCAGGATCCGAATCTGCGAACCTGGGCTGCTGAAGCAAAGCATGCTACTACGCCATAGGGCCAGCCCCAATATAAAACTGTTTAATCCCTCTGATAGTTATTTTAGCGTATGATGTGGGACAGAACCATTTTTTTTCTGAGTAGTTAACCACTTGCCCCAGCGCTAATTGATTGAGAACCTTCCTTTTAACATAAAATTCTTGATTCTCTTACTGGGATTCTGTTCCTGACCATATTTGGCTATTACTAGGCACTGTTTTAATTATTATAGTATGTATAATGTGTATTATTTGATACTATATATTTCCCATCACTCTGGTTTTTCAGTATTTTATATTCTAAACTGTTTATTCTTTTGGTTGAATTTTTCTATCAGTTTTTAATTCACAGAAAACTGCAACTATGTATGAAACTGTCACATTTATAAATTATTTTTTATTTTCCTAGATATTTAAAAAATTTTGTTATTCTTTATAATAAAGACTTTTCTTTCCATATGTATTTCCTTGCTGGTCATTTCTAATATATAAGGAAGGTATTAATTTTTATGAATTTACTTGATAACTAATTTCTTTGAACCATCTTAATTCTTTTAATAGTTCTCAGTTAATGCTTTTGGCATTGTTGAATCATCTGTGAATAATTTCTTTTTCTCTTTTTAATATATGTAAGCTTTTTTTCCGCTATCTTACTAAATTAGTTGGTATTTAAGAGCAATTTTAAGCAATTGGGTTGATAAGGGCATCCTTATATTTTAATATTAAATGTAATGCTAGCTTTTGATTGAAATAAGTATTTATCTTTTTAAAGAAATAGACTTCTATTCCTAGTTTACTAAGATTTTCTTAAACATCAGCATTAGATGTGGAATTTATCAACCACATTTTCGACTTAGATACTGATGATCATAAGATTTTAACCCTTTGACTATTAATATTATTATTGCATTATTTTAATACCCATAAACTAAGCAAAGATTGGGAATTGGTAAAGGATGATATGTTAAGGAAATAGCAGCCAATCCAGTTGAGCTGGAGTCTGAGTATAGGTAGGAAAATGGTAGAAGACAAGGCTTGAAAGTTTTCTGAAGGCTGGCTAGTACAGATGCACAAATGCCAGACTAAGGCGTCTGAATACCTTAGTATTGCAGAACAGCTGAGGATTTTAGAGTCTAGAATTAGGATGAATAGAGTCCAGTTTTAGAATTTGTAGAATTATATTGCAGGTGGGATAGATTTTGGAAGATATCAGTCAAGAGATTACTGGTGTGTCCAAATGAAAGTTAGTACATGAGGAATAGAAGATGTGTGCTTGGGGTTGGTATAGGAGCAGAGCCCAAGGATCCTGTCTCTTCCCCCTTCCCGGGGGGTAGAGAGTTTGCTCCTTCCCTCCTGGCTTAGGGCTTTCATTTTTAGGAACAAGGGGTCAGGAGAGTAGGCAGTATTTTGTGTCTGTCCCCCAACCCAACCCACAGCCACTGAGCCTCTCCTTATAGGCGCCAGTCACCTCCTGCATGCCTACATGACCAAGGAGAACTCATTCTGATCTTCTTGCCCCCAACCTTTTTTGTGGGCACAAATATGTTTCCTACAATAGATTAGGAAATAATTGAAACATTTTCCCATCACAAAACAGTGAGATTGAGCTCCCGGGGCCAAGGATTATTTTTAATAACCAACATTTTTTTGTAAAGTTTTCTTCTAGAAAGCTAAAATAAACTTTAGTAGTGGTTACCATTTGGAATAGGAATTAAAGGAGGAGGAGAAAGACAATTGTTTGGATTCTTTTTTTTTTTTTTTTTTTACCATGTGTCACTACATTTTTTTTATTTATTTTTTTTATTTTTGTTTTTTTGATGAGGAAGATTTGCCCTAAGCTAACATCTGTTGGCAATCTTCCTTTTTTTTTCTTTGCTTGAGGAAAATGAGCTAACATCTGTGCCAGTCTTCCTCTGTTTTTCTGTATGTGGGATGCCTCCACAGCAAGGCTGATGAGTGGAATAGGTCTGTATCCAGGATCTGAACCTGTGAACCCAGGCCGCCAAAGGGGAGCATGCAGAACTTGAACCACTGGGCCATGGGGCTGGCCCCTACATTTTTTTTTAAGTTAAAATAAAACCATAACTAGAGAACTTACTGTATGACAGTTACTGTGCTACGCTGTGAGGAAGCTTCTCACCCAACCTCATTTTACATCAAAACTGAGGCTCAGAGTGTTGATCTCACCTTCAGTCAAGGTTTGTGTCTTGGTTACAAAGATCAGAAATCCCCTCAAGCCAGTTTAGGAGGGAAGTGATCTAGATTAACTGTTTAGGGTCTGGGATCTAGAATCAGAATGCTTTGGATTTGAAACAAACAGTTTGAAGCTGTTTGGACAGTGAAAAACTCGAAACAGTTAAGCTCTCACTTAACTACATTGGGCAAGTTACTTAAACTCCTCATACTTTGGTGTCCTCGTGTATAAAATGAGAATAATGGTAGTACTTGCGAGGATTAAATGAGATGTCCACGTAAAGCACGGAGAACATGCCTGGCACTCAGTGGGGGTGGTGAGCTGCCATGTACAGGTTCTAGCCCTCACTTCACTCGACATTATAGTTCGTATCCAACACCTGATTTGTAATCATCTCCATGTCTCTCAATCCAAATTCTAGAGCAAAAACATCTGGCTCCCTTTGGGTTAGGATTTCACCGCAGTCCAGTCAGTTATGACCGGGAAGTCAGTCTCCTACACAGCGTTTCCGCCGGGCTGTGGAGGAGGCACATGGGCTGGGCAGGTTACCCACGTAGGTCTGCTCGCCTGACACAGAGGAGAGCTTGAAATTGTTTGTTGCAGTGAAGTGTTGAGCAACTGCTAATAATTCTGCGGGAGACAGGAGACTTTAAAACACCTCGAACTTATGGTGAGATCACAGATTTTTATTTCATCTTTTAAACTTTTAATAGTTTCTGAATGCTTTGAAATGAGTCAAAGTAATGTTATTTTTTACTTGGAAAAAAATGCCATTTTTCTACATTTATTTCTATGTTTTAATAGTACTTTCCTTCTCAAATAGGTTAATACTCAGAGCCTACACAGTAATCTTATTTATTTTTCAGGTTACAGAATACCTATATGCTAATAAAATGGCTTTCCGATACCCGGAACCTGAGGACAAGGCCAAATATATTAGAGAAAGAATCTGGCGAAGTGAATACGATTCCCTGCTGCCGGATGTGTATGAATGGCCAGAGTCTGCATCGAGCCCTCCCCAGATAACGGAATAGAAGCACGCCCACTGATGAACACTTCCCATGCTTCAGAGGACTGCGTTTTTTAGACAAAAAGAGATAATGTTCTCAAATTCACGTTTTTTTCTGTGTTTTGTTCTCCCCCGCCACTTTGCCTGACTTAATTTTTCCCACGAATCTACACTTCTTTAGGGGGTATATGTGTTGACTACGTTGTTCATGCCCACCAGCACCCTGCAGTCAAATCACTAGAATGCTTTCCTTCTGATTTGTAACTCATCCCACATCGAAGAGATGTTAAAAATGTATCTGTGAATATCTTCTCTTGTGCTCTGGTTCACGCTTGCCAAAGTATTTGCTATTTACATAATAGGGACTTCTCTCTCTCAGCTCTTCTAGGGCTACTAAAATCAAAATTTACCCCTGTGGATATGGGTACAGAATTTTGAGAGGCCAAATTTAACCAAATTCTAAGGACAAATTGTCAGTATCTAAAAGTGTTCTTTTATTTCTGCTTCATTTTACCTTCATGCTCTGAAATTCCTTTCCCGTAGAGAGATGTAGAGAAATATGAAAGGTCTACCCTATTTATTTTCTGGAACAAAATTGAGGATTAACTATAATGTGAGAGAGAAATGGGAACTACTGCTACCTTTAGACAAATAAAATAGTCATTGTTTTCGACAGTGTATAAAAATCATAGTGTAACTTTTTTATTTAATAAAGGTGACATCTTTAATTGCTTCAATTACGCTGTTTCATTGCCCAGCTAGAAATATTTTCATTTTCTTTATTTCTAGATAATACTAAGGAGCAGGGTACAGGATACCTATTGCATAAATTATGACCGACATCCTGTGACTTTTAACAAAGTAGTCATGTGTTTCACATCTAAACAAGTCCTGCTTAGCTGGAGATGCTCTCCCCCTATTCCAGTTGTGCTGCTGTTCATTACTTGAGATAATTTTGGAATGTTCCTATGATACATCCCTTTGAATATCAGTAGTGACAACTCTTTCTCCTTTGAGGATGGATTTAATTTTTTGAAACCAGCAAAATTAATTTAGAGCTAAGTGGGGATGAATAAGGTAGGTGTTCAGACTAGGAAATGCCATCTTTAATCTCAGTAAAATGGATAATAATTGGCTAGTGAGACCAGTTTTCTTATGTGGCTTACATATTGGAGAGTTCTAAAGGAAAATCCAAAAGCATTTTGAGAAGAAGTATTGCTGTAAATGTGCCTAACATAGTTGCTTTGAAGGAACAAAGTTTTCAAATGCTCATTGTAGAAATTAACTACAAGAAATTATTCACAGCTGTGTATCACCATGTACATTATTTGGTATTTCTCTTTCTCTTAAAATTAAGAGGTATTTCCTCTTAATTTTACTAAGATTTTTGTTTATTAAATATGTCCAGTACAGTTTTTATGGAAACTTTAAATATTTTAAGGAAAAAACAAGACCAAATGGCATATAGCCTGCTTATTTAAATAAGACAGAGATCTTTTATCTATATATATATTTTAAAAGCTGCCTATTCTCAATATGTGTTATTTACCCACCAGTATTTTAACAAGTAACAGTTACTGGATGTAAATTAAAGAAAAAAATGTTTAATAGCTCAGCTAAGAATACAGGCAGGAACTATCAGCATGGGGGCAGGGGTGGCATAATGGCATCAAATTGGAAAAGAAACTAAAACATTTGGACCCTCTATGGAAACTTAACCCAGCAAGAAATTAATTATTTTGAAAAACAGCAATGGAGAGTCATTTTCATTCTTTTGAATAAGGAAGAAATTCTGTAGATTAGTCCATCAAATTATTTAGTAGGGAAAAGTGAGAGTACATGTTTTTCTAATCTGGCACCACCACCTGTAGTGTGAACAAAAATTGGATTAACTAGTGAAGTAAGGTTTATTGACTATAATGGGAAAAGTGTGAAAAGATTTTGGTTACAATCTTTTTAAAGGATGGATCCTTAACCAGGAAGTTGCCTTAAAATCACCATGAAGCTTCTTTAAAATGCAGATGCCTCTGCTGCCTCCTTGCAGGCCCCCTGGACCACCAGGGGCAAGAGCCCTGGCAGGTGTAGTTTCAGCAGGTCCCCAGGTGACTCATGCATACACACGTCCCCTGTCCCCCCAGTCGGGCCTTAAAGCAGATGGCCGCATCACCTGGAGAGCTAACTGATTCCTCCTGCCGATGCCGGGGGTGTGGCAGAGCGGGTGGGCCAAGATTCTGCATTTCTGACAAGCTCCCAGGCGATGCCCACGCCGCAGCACACAGAACACACTGAGTGCTTTGCTCCGGAGAGCGGAGTGTGATGTGCAGTTTAAGCTTGGTGCTCATACAGTATGTACTTTCCATGAAAAAGATAAGTGAAATTGTGTTCTCACACGGGATTGGTTTCATCTATTTTTATGTACAGTTTTTATAGGGTGCTTATAAGAACAAAAATTACAGCACACAAACACTTTTCTGAAAATGAATACTGTTCAATGATAAATTATAGACTTCTAATGTACTTAAGTAAAACCTAGCACCTAGTTCTCATTTATGAAAGATTAGCTATCAAATGGATATTTGTTTCTTCTCTATTGTTGTCTTATGATATGACTTATCCTATCCTTTGTCATTTCTTTCTCTAAATTAACCTCTGGAGAAATAAGATTCTACATTCTTCTTTGCAAAGGAGTTGCTGATGAATTAAGACCAAAGCATAATAATTATTAAGGGGTGTGGAGCATTATTTGCTGCTCTCGGATAACTGAGTAAGCCCAAAGAGGATGGTAGGGGAGTGGGAAAAGCCTTGCCTGAGAAAAAATACTTCATTCAAATGCTCCTGTAGCTTTTTTCCCGAATCCATTCAGTCTTCAAAGATAACGTCTTCATAGTCTTGAACAGCTTCAGGGTTCTGTGGAATTCGCCAAAATGGAGTCAGCTCTGTTGAGCATACACGATACTTGAGAACATTAATATAAATCTCAGAGCTCTCTACTGGGATTCCACTTAAAGGGACTGTCCTCAAGCATGGAATAGCACCAATCAGGTATTTCCATCTAAGACAAGACCACACATATTCAAGTGCAGGCACATTGCTGACTTTATAAAAATGGCATAGATTTGTTCTCTCCTCTCAACCGATTTGATTTGCATCTAAATGTTGAAATGAAATAAATCCTCCGTAGAGCAGCTAAATAAAGTAACAATATTTAAAATATTCAAGATAATTCGACTACAGAAAACTTCTCCGTCATCTCCCTCATCTGAAATCAGGATAAGATGTTTTAATGTAAGCAGAGAAAAAGCTCAATGCTTTGTTCCAAATTTTAATAAATTCAACTAGGCCTTATTAGGACATGAGTCGTTGCATAATTCCCTTAATCCTTGCCAGGAGTTACTCAGATAAACTACTGATTAGATTTTAAAACAATAATTACTTTCCTTTCTTGGATAAGGAAAATTGTGCCTCTCAAAGAGGAAAGTAAGTCAGGCTATAATATGGAAATGTGTTCATAGTTCAGTTGCATAAAAGATACAAATTAAGTCAAATGACTTTTGGGTGCTTTGTCTCTTTCTGTAACAGGTTTTTGCCAATAAACTGACTCTCTTCATATGGCTGTTTAATCTTGTTTTTTCCAAATAAACACTTACTTGCTAATTTGCTGTTTAGGAAGTTAGCCCTACATTCAGCACACTTTTCAAAGTCTTAAGACTAAGGGGAAATTTGTGGGTATATATCCCCCAGTTTTCAGTATGTCTTTTTATGGCCTGGAAAAATTATTTCCCCTTACTTTCATAATTTTAAGTGTATATTCCAGCAAATCGTTGATTCCTACATAGTCACTGAGTCATCACCAACACCTTAGGTATGTACAATTATCAAATAATGATAAACTAACTTTTATAGATAGCACCTACTTTGTGCCAGGCATTGTTCTAAGTGTCTTACATGCATCAGCGTATTTAATCCTCACAATGACCTTCTCTCCCCACACCTGTTTTACAAAGAAGGACACTGGCACAGAAAGGTTAAACGCCTTGCCCAAGGTCTGCTGGTGAGTGGCAGAGCCCAGCTCTTAGCCTCAGTCCCTCTCCACGAAGAAGGGCGTCTGTGATAGGCGATTTTATCTGGATCTTAAATTCCTTATCGTCAAGAATTGCTATTTCAGATGAAAATTATTCACCTGTTCTTATAAGACTAGTCTTAGGTCATTTTTAATACATTTTACCAGTTCATTTGATTTTTACTTAGTTCCCATTTATAATTCAAATACAGTATAAACCTATTTTATCCGTTAGTCTTCAGCATTTTAAGTATTGGAGGTAAACATAAAAGATTTGGTTTTGAATTTGATAAATTACACCAAAGATTCTCAGTAGCCAGCTCACTAACATCTTTTGATTTGGTAATCGTCACAGAACCAACTGCTGTCACTTCTGTGCAAAATCAATTTCCATAGTGCTTACACACTTTGTAAATCTGCCAACGTCAATGTGAATTTGAAAATAAGATCTATTTTAAATGATATCTATTGTATTATATGCATATATATAACTTCTTCCATAGAAAGTAGCAATATAAAATATATATGTGGAAAAATGAATTTCTGAGGCCAATTTTAGCTAAATATTTGACAAAGTAAAACTTCTGCCTAATGTTTTATACTTTGCCTAATGACCTTTAAAATTAGCTGGAATTAAAACCATATTTTTGCAATTGATATTATGTTCCCTTTGATAACATCCCAAGTATTAATTATTAACTTCAAGGAAGCCACACATCACAAAAGTCATTGCTTAGCCTTTCTCACCTTTGGATTTAAGATAAAGAGATGGAATAAACAGTCTTGTAATTGCTTATGGGAATAGTAATTTAAGGGGAATGCCTTGCGTAGGGTATATGATACCAGATCAACTTATTACAAATGGTTCCAGGAATCAGTCCAAAAACTTCAAAATGATGTGAATTGTTTTTTTTCTTTTGTGATATAAATTGTAATGAGATGTGTGTATTTTCTTTGCAAAATTTTCCAATCTTAAAAAATGCGTTATGACCTTGTTTGTAAAGGCTGCTGTGTATAGGGCACTTTTAAAACTTAGTATTATCTTAAACCTTTAAACGCACTCACACAGAGTCCAGAATACTTGATCTTTCGGGGATATATTGTTAGACTTCAATTCACACGTGGAGCACTGGTTTTGCCGCTCATCTTTCCTTTTTATTGAGCTTCCTGCTCTATTTCTCTTCTTATTTATTTTAATCATAGCAGTAAAGGAATTATTTCTCACTTCCTCTCGCCCACCGCATACATGTTCCAAGACTGCAATGTAAGAATACAAAATCAGGAACGACTGCATGTTGACTTTGTGATAAAGGGGAAAAACTGGTGTAACAGCCTGAGTGCTGCCTAAGTACCTGATACCTGCTTATTCATTTAAACTTCACGACAAGCTTCTCAGGTGTAGGTACCGACATCTTCCCCGTTTTACAGATGTAGAATGTGAGGCGCTGAGCCATTGAGGTCATGTAGCTACTAAATTGAATCCAAGCCAGGATTCAGACCTCTTGCATCATGGTTTGACAAAATCCAATCCTGTTTAAGCTAGACTCTCCACCTACTCTGAGCACAGCCCAGGGAGCAGAACATGGCTGCAGAAAATCACAGTCCTGCTGTGTGTCTCACTTCATAGTCACTAACTTCAAGAAACCCTTAATGCTCCTGGCATTTCCCTGCCCAGCGACTATGATATCTTCGCGGCTCTCAGGTCTCTGACATCCTCCCCCATCCTCACCCTCAGTAGATGGCCTTCCTTCCCATTTCATGGAGAAATAGGACAATCAGAAGAGAATGTCCTCCAGCTCCCCTTCCCCCCAGCTCCCCGGGTACCTTAAGAAAGTGAAAAGCAGCACCTCCTGCCCTCCAGGAGCTGGCCTGGTACTATCAGCTGTCCTTGTGTGTTTAGGAACTCAACCAGGCCTTGGTGTTCTGCTGGGTGTAAACCACCTCACAGAACATGAGAATCAGGCAAGGCTACTCTGACCATGATGAACCAAGACAAAAACTAGGTGTTTTGTTTCAGGGGGCAGCAAGTTAATACTCAGAGACTGAGATTGCCTTTGCCAATAATTTAACACAGGTTCACTGTGGGATTCATAATAGTTTCACAAGCCAATAGCCTACAGGATAATGTCTCTTAATAAGCCAATAAAAAAAAATAACATGCTCCAAACCAATGACAGATTAATCACACTATTGTTCCAGGCAAGGGGAGATAAAGGAATAAAGTCCAAATTTAATCCAGGTGTACCTTCTTATATGAGTTTGCACTCAGGAGAGACGGCTAAACCAACCAAGAGCTGACTTCCAGCTGCCGGCGCAAAATACGAGTCCCTTGTTGCTAGAGCACGTTGCTAGGGAACAACGTTGCCGGGGTTGGTGGGCAGGCTGATCTCCTTCATGGGCCACTGAGCAGACTGAGCAGTTTGTCACAGCTACTAATAAGGGAGTCATCCTTACTATGCTAGGAGCTAATGCCCCAAGGTCTTCGGACAGCTTATTAGGTCTGCAAGGAGTGCCTTGTTGCTTCTCCACGTGTTCCTGGTGCTAAGCCCCCGAACAGTGCTGGCCCAGCTGAGCTACCGAGTGCTTATCAATGACAACAGATGAGATGATGACATCCTGACACAACTTACTTCATTCTTATATCAAAACAACAACTTTTTTCTTTTGGTCTTAGTCATAAACAAGTGCATTCGAAATCATATTAAAGTAATACATAACACGAGGCCACTCCATCATCTTGTCTATACACAGACAGAACATGGGCGTTGTCCAAACCACAGAAATGACCAGACCCCACCCCAACCCCAATCCTGGCTAGTGTGCTTGACTACTAACACTTTACCAATTATAATTTTAGCCTCACTCCCTATAGATAAGATTTGAGATAAGCAATCATAGAGTTGTCCCTGCTTCCTAAGCAAACCCCAATCCAGAGTGAACCTCAACTTCTGTGGCCCCTCTGCAAAATCACCCAACCAAAAGCCAAATTCTATGATAGGTGCTTTCTAACACCCTGTTACTGAGATGCCCCCCTGTTCTCTATGGTGTGCATCCTTGATTGCTGCAATGAATAGCTACAGGTGTGCTCCTGGTGCTCTTAGGCTGGAGGGCAGTGACAATCTCCACCCATGTGCTTAAGAACCAACTACGGCCCTGTCAGTCAGGAAGAAGCCCTCCATTTGGGCACTGGGTACCATTTCCCCTCACCCACTCAAGGGCCTTGCTCTCAATTCTCCCTTCTCTGCATCATCGACTTTCCCTCTATTAAATCACTAGCACACTGATTGCAGCTAGGGGGACTCCTGAATCCTCTTCCCCTCCAGCTACTGCCCCAAGTCACTATCCTTTAAACCAAAACTCCTCAAAGATGCTCCATAGTTACTCTATACTTGCTGACTTCATCCTCTCCTTCCACTCTCTCTTGAACCCACTCCAATCAGGTCTTACCCAGCCTCCACTGAAACCTACAAACTGCCAAATTCAAAGGTCAAATTAAAATTGCTATTTTACTAGATCCATGAGCATCATTTGACACAATGGATCACTCCCTCTTTTTTGTTTTTACTATTTTTTTGAAAGATATAATTTCAAACGTACAGAAAAGCTGTAGGAGTAGTACAAGGAACTCCCTGACTTTTTCCCAGATTCACCAATTGTTTATATTTTGCTTCATTTGTTTCATCATTCATTCACTCTCTTTCCCACTATACACACATAAACACTTATTTTCTGAATGATTTGAGAGTAAGTGTCAGACAAGATGCCCCTTTACCCTTAAGTATTTTTGTATGCATTTCCTAAGATCAAAGATATTCTCTGACATAAGCACAGTACCATTCCTTATCAAAATCAGAAAACTTAACATCGATGCAATACTATTACCTAATCTAATATCCCTTCTCTACTCTAAAGTTATTTTTCCCTTTGTAAATAAGTAATTTCTTGGGAGATGTTTTGAAACTATGTAAACACCCTCTTCCTTATCAAGCCTTCACCCACTAAGTTTTAGCATCCATTGATGATTTTCTAACTCTATCATTTCTTCTGTATATATTGGTTGGCATTCTATTATAAGGAAGACATTTTCCTTCTTCTCCATTATTTTATTCATTTATTTATATTGGTAGGGACTCATGGGTTCTTATTTTATTCTGGGTTCTTGCAATGCCTTCCTAAGTGGTCTCCCACCCTTGCCACCAACAGAAATCTATTCTCAGCAGAACAGCAAGAGTGATCCTTTTAAACATAAAATGAAGCAAGTCACTCTTTTCAAAACCCTCAATGGCTAAGCTTAAGTACTTATAGTGCCATGAAAGGCCCTATGTGATCACCCCCCACTACTACTGCCACCGCTCACTTCTCTGATCTCACCTACTATGCTCCCTGCTTTCTCGCTCTATTTCAGCCATACTTGCCTTGAGCACACAGGCAGACTCCAGGCAGCCCTTTCATTTGCTGCACGCTCTGCCAGGAACATTCTCTGTACCTCCACAGCTTGCTCTTCACCTTCTTCAGGTCTTTGCTCAAATGTCACTTTTCGGTGAGCCTTTCTCTGATTCACCCTTTTTAAAATTGTAACCCAAACTCCCTGGCATTCTCTCTCTTCCCTACTTATTTTTCCCCACAGAACTTATTACTATCTGATGTAGTATATATTTTACTTATTTTATTTATTATCTATCTCTCCCCATTAGAATATAAACTCCATGAAGATACGGTTTTTTGCATCTTTTTTTTCATTCCTGTATCCCGGAACCTAGAAAAGTGTCCAGCTCATCATTTGTTGAAAAAATACCCTTTTCATCCAGGGGGTCATGAATAGTCTCAGGAAGTCCAGGAAGCCCCTGAAGTTGTGTATAGTACTGTGCTTGTGGCTCTAGGAGGGAGAATTTCCATCATCTTTATCAAATTTTCTAAAGGGCCCTTTTTTTACCTAAGGTAGGTTAAGAACAACTAGGCTAGAGCATTTTTAACTAGTCTGTCATAGTTATTTATTGCAATAATTGGCATGCTGAGATACAGGTTTCAACTTTCATCAAGGCTGGAATGGGTAAACAGACAAATAAAGGTCTTTCATTGCCTGATAAAGCAAGTAATGCTCAGATATGTCAGCAATATCAGTGACTTCACACCCCTTGCCCCAAATAGTATCTTCTCTGTTGTTGAATCCTGAAAAATATGGATGTCAAATACCATCTGGTTTGCATCTAAAGTGAATAGAAGGCAACTTTAAAAACAATTTTCCGGGGCTGGTCCCGTGGTCGAGTGGTTAAGCTCGAGCGCTCCGCTTCGATGGCCCAGGGTTTTGCCAGTTTGGATCCTGGGCGCGGACATAGCACTGCTCATCGAGCCATGCTGAGGCAGCATCCCACATGCCACAACTAGAAGGACCCACAACTAAAAATATGTAACTATGTAGCAGGGGACTTTGGAGAGAAAAAGGAAAAATAAAATCTTTAAAAAAATAAATAAAAAATAAAAACAATTTTCCATCTCAAGCTGGTCTAAAAATTACACTTAAGACACTACGTGTACAGCAACCAGGAGAATGTGCCTCTCAGATCGCTAACTTCTAGGAATCTAATCGACCATCAGCCCCAGTCACTGTACCCTGAGATCCATCTCTTCATTCACATGGAAGGCATGCTTCCTGCAAGGCTGCTCTCAGCCAATGACTTAACACAGCGGGGACAGCAAGCCAGGCCCATGCCTGGGAGAGAGGGGACTCTCACAGGTGATTCTAGCTCAAAGCCTCGCCAAGCTCAGAACTGGATTTCAGTCTAAAGTTCATTCCTTACCTAGCCTTTCTTCCTTCTCGCTCTCTTCCACCTGGAATCAGACCTGCATCCCCGGTCTGAGGGCTCTCACAGCCTGCCAGCTCCTTCCTCACTTTCACTTCTTCCTCTTGGTGTCTGCCACTTGGAGGATCCAGACTAACATAGCAGGTCCTTCAGGATGTAGGTCTATAGGTTAGAAACATTGAAATTACTAGAGCTATTGTTAAAGTAATGAGACTTTCTGGATTTTCTGATATTGTTTCTTTTCTAGATCTATTGTCTGAACTCTGGATCACGTCGTGACTAATCTCACTGGATTCTTTAATCTGTTCATCCAAGGGTGAAGAGGATCTCTGAATTGTTTGGACCAACACGCCTATATTGAATACCTTGCATTTTAACATTGAGAGCCCATTTTTAACATTCATCATGCTAATTAACAAATCACTAGCGTCACGTTTTGACATTCAATATGCCGATAAGCAAAGCACTGATTTTTGATCAAAATGACAATAGCAGAAAGTCTTGTGGCAGCTACTTTTGCAGTGTAGGCCTTCCTGATGTAAGATGCTCACTCCAGGACTCTTGATAACACATCAGATGACCACCCCTTAAATTAAAGCTTAAATTAATTGACAAATACTTAATATCAGACAAATACACTGAAATACTTCAAAGCAAATGACAGCCTTTACAGCAGATCGTCTATCCCAATGATATTTAGAAAATGGCCACCACAGATTTGAGAGGAGAGGAATGGTGTTTAAAAATTCTATCAAAGTAACTTGAGTGAAATCCAAGTGCTATGATCGCAAAAAGAAACACAACGTATTTAGGGAATGAATAGAGGAAGAAGCACGTGCGGATGAAGGAAACAAAAGTTTCGTGTCAGTCAGTTAAATTTGAGGTGCATGGTTAAAGATATTTTGGGTGATTAGTATATTGAGAAGGAGATCTGATCGGTGGTTACCAGGGAAAAGGGGGGGTGGGGGGAGGGTACGGAGGGGGAAGTGGTGTACCCACAACATGACTAACAAAAATGTACAACTGAAATCTCACAAGGTTGTAATCTATCATAACATTAATAAAAAAAAAAAAAAGATATTTTGGGTGACACTCAGTATCCAACCCTATTACTTTGGAGCGATTCCCCGCTATGTATAGTGTTGCAAGGAACAGAATGTGCTGCCTTCCTCTGTGGAAGCCAAAGCTCATGGGGCAGGCTCCTCCTTCTCTCTGCCTCATGGCAGCCAAGAACAGTGGCAAGCATGTAGTGGTGGTGTGTCAGTGGCAGCGCCCTAAGAAGGCACTGAGGCAAGACCTTGGCTTTGGTGCCTGCTGCCTCCATTGATTCAAGTTTTCTGTCAATTCTGTGGGCTTTCCAATCTCCTTAAATTAGCCAAAATTGATCTCCACGCTTGTAACCAATAATTCTGATTGACACCCAATTAACATGTCTATTTATAAGTGTGTATATATTAGCCCATCAACAAGACTTTAAGCAAATGGAGGGCTGTGGTCATGTCTTTTGTTTATTTTGTATAGACTCAAATCTCTTTCTCACTCAGTTCAGGGCTCTTTCTCCATGTAGGTTTAAGCAGTGCTTGATTTCCATTACCAAATGATCGACAAAAAAGTTTCCAAATATAATTTGAATGAGGAAAACAAAGTCACGGAGTCCACCATGTTAGCACTTCATTGGCTCTGAAACTTGACCACTGCTTTTTACTAATTTGTAATCAGAGGTATTATTCTTCCCTTTTTCTTTAAATTTTTTTTAAAGATTGTCACCTGAGCTAACAACTGTTGCCAATCTTTTTTTTTTTAATTGCTTTTTCTCCCCCAATCCTCCCAGTACATAGTTGTATATTTTAGTTGTGGGTCCTTCTAGTTGTGCCATGTGGGACGCCGCCCCAGCATGGCCTGATGAGCAGTGCCATGTCTGCGCCCAGGATCTGAACTGGTGAATCCCTGGGCCACAGAAGCAGAGCACACAAGCTTAACCACTCGGCCACAGGGCCGGCTATCCTTCCCTCTTAATTCCAGGTCAGTTACACCTTAGACAAGCTAATAGGCAGGTTCAATTACTGATTCAAGAAGACCACTGTTATATTACGTGTAGGTTACCTCTAAGCAAAGAATGAGAGAGAAAAGGGAAGGCAGCCTTCTTCTATCTGTAGAAATTATATTGTTAGATATGCTAGGTATCACTTTGTAACGACTCACCTTTTAATAACACTTTACAAAGCATTTTCAACAAACACCATTTAGTCTTATAACAAAAGTTTGAGGCAAGAAGAGCAATTATTATCCTCACTCTGCCAATGGAAAAACAGAGGCTCTTGGGGCAAGCCCGGTCGTGCAGCCATTAAGTGCACACATTCTGCTTTGGCAGCCCGGGGTTCGCTGGTTTGGATTCCAGGTGTGGACGTGGCACCGCTTGGTGTGCCATGCTGTGGTAGGCATCCCACATATAAAGTAGAGGACGACGGGCACGGATGTTAGCTCAGGGCCAGTCTTCCTCAGCAAAAAGAGGGAGATTGGCAGCAGTTAGCTCAGGGCTAATCTTCCTCAAAAAGAAAGAAAAAAGAAAAAGAAAAACAGAGGCTCAGAAAAGTTAAACGAACCGACCAAGGTCACCTAAACACAAAGGGGCAAAATCAAGACTCAAACTATCAAACAGAAGTTCATGTTGCTAAGCAATGTGAAATGACAAATTGGGAAAATATTTGCAACTTATACCATAGTTAGTTATTATGCCTAAGATATAGAAAGCACCTAAAAACCAAGAAGAAAGAGACCATCAATACAATAAGAAACCAAGGAAAATACATTCATGAAAAGTTCACAGAAAAACAGATGCAAATGACCCTTAAACTTATGAAAAGATACTCAACATAGCTCAATTATGACAGATTTTAAATTTAAATTAGTCTAAGATGTTAGATTGGCAAAAATCCAAAAGTTTGACACCATTAATGGCATTGAGGTTCTGAGGAAAAAGGTACTCTGATAAATTGCCAATGAAAGGAAAAGTGGTACAACCCCCATGGAGGGGATTTTAGCAATCTCTAGCAAAATTATACACACATTTACCTGTCAAGCCATCAATCCCATTTGTAGGAATCTATGGCAAAGATATACTTGCAGAAATAAAAAATAACTTATGCACAAAGCTATTTGTTATCACACTGTGAAAGCAAGAGACTGGAAACAATCCAGGGACTGACTGAATAAACTATAATATAATCATTCAGTATTAGACAGCTGTGAAAAGGAATGAGGAAGAAATTTGTATGCTGACACAGGATTGTGTCAGCCAAGGAGGCGTGCTGCTTGCAACTTCCTTGCAAAAATAACTTGCTGTCCAGCTGCAAGGAGTGCACCTTTACTGATACTTTTTGTTTTTCATGTGGATTGAAATTACCATCAGGGGTCACTTGCTTTCAGTCTGAAGAACTTGCCTGTAAAGTAAGTCTACTAGCAGCAAGTTCTCAGTTTTGTTTATTTGGGAATGTCTTTATTTCACCCTCATTATTGAAAGATAGCTTTGCCAGATATGGGATTCTTTGTTGAGAGGTTTTTAATCTGAACACTTATGAATATGTTATCCCACAGACTTCTGGCTTCCATTTGTTTCTGCCGAGAAATCAGCTGTTAATCTTCCTGAGGTTCTCTTCTAAGTGATCAGTCATTTTCTTCTTGCTGCTTTCAAGCTTTTCTTCTTGTCTTCTCTTTCAGCATTTTTACTACAATGTGTCTGTTTGTGGATTTCTTTGTGTTTATGCTACTTGGAGTTTGTTGAGCTTCCTGGATGTGGAGATTATTGCTTTTTCAATAAATCTGTGAAGTTTTCAGCCATTATTTCTTTGAATATTTTTTCTGCTCCTTTCCCCCGTCCTTCTGGTACTCCTACTATTTGTATGTTGGTGTGCTTAATGGTGTCATACATTTCTCTGAGGTTCTACTCATTTTTCTTCATTTTTTTGTCTCTGTTCTTTGGGTTGTATGATTTCTGTCAATCGAGCTGGAGGTTTGCGAATTCTTTCTTCTCTGTAAGTTCAAATCTACTGTTGAATCCCTCTACTGAATTTTCCATGTTACTGTACTTTTCAACTCCAGGATTTCCTTTTTATGTAATAATTTTTTTACCCCATATTGATATTCCTTATTTGATGTGATTGTCATCATACATCCCCTTACTTCTTTAATCATGATTTTCTGTAGTTCTTTGAAAATATTTATACTGGCTACTTTGAAAGCTTTGTCTGTTAAATCCAACATCTGGTCACTCTCATGGGCAGTTTCTGTTGCCTACTTTTTTTTTTCCAGTCATACTTTCCTGTTTCTTTACATTTCTTATGATTTTTTGTTGGAAACTGCACATTTTAGACACTATATTATAGCAATTCTGGGTACTGCCCCCCACCTCTGGGATTTGTTATTCTTATTTGCCTGTTTGTTAGTTTAGTGACCGCTGGATTATTTTAGTGGAACCATCCCCCCTCAGCCTACAGAGTTAACCCTCTGATATTTCTCCTCAGGACATGCAGCCTTGGGTATGCCCACATCCATCCTGGGATGACAATGATTTGGGCAGGACTCTCTTTTTCTCCTTCCCTGACTACAGCCAGCTATTAAGCTCTTCTAATTGCCAGGCTGTTGCTCTATTTTCTTTTTTCAACAATGTCTCGGGGCATAAATTGTTCCAGAGACTAAAGCAATCAAATTTGAGTTCCTTTGAAGAAATAGTTCCTCAGGTTAGTGTTTGAGTTTTGTTCTGACCTCAGGTAGGCTCCTCTCAATTGTCTCTTGCCCCTTGGTTCTCTTAGAAAAACTAGCTGCTGACAATTTAGCCTATATGTCCAATGATTCTACCAATCTCCTCCCAATCCCCTTTCACCATCATCTCCATTCATTTTGAGAGTGCCCTTAAGCTTGAATGTCTTCACATTCTGTTGTAAGTGAAGTCAGTCTGTTGGAAGAGATTGAGGTATGTTTTAGCCCTGCTTTTCTCCCCAGGCAAAATCTCTGAGCCAAGGCACTGGACCTAGAGAGCTATGGACAATGGCACGTTACCCTCTCAGTGATACCACCAATTTAGGTGCTGGGGACTTGGGGAGGAAAGCAGTGACCTTGAAGCTGGGTACCTGAGGGTTACTGTAAATATTCAATAAGAACATGATTACCCTTCAACCTTGCTCTCAACACAGACACAGATGAAAAGAAGTTAATCTTGTTAATTTGCTGTTTTCTTGTTTAACCTGAGGGGTGACTCAAGGGTCACAAGGATTTATGGGCTTGTTTTGCAGAAGAAAAATAATGCTTTTAAGGAAGTTACTGATCACTAGATAACCAGACCCAGTTGCTGCTCTCCATGCCCAAAAGTCTGATTGCCCAAGGGCTTATCTGGAGTGAAAGAAACATGGACTTCCCATTTGTTTCTCTGAAATTCCTCCTCCCAAGCCCCTTAGCTCTATAAAGACCCCCTGCTTTCTTCTTTCATTAAGGCAGATTTGAGACAACCTATCCTCCCACCTTCTCATTTTGGCCAACTCAAATAAAATTTTTTCTATCTCCATGCACTATGCCTCAGTGATTAGCTTACTGTACACTGAGCACACAAACTTGAGATTAAGAGGTTTGATATCAACCTCAGGTCTTTTTGGCTGGCCTCTCTCAGCATGGAACCACCACATTAGCCAGGGCAAGGGCAATCAGGGTCCTAGTAGTATTCTTGTTAGGGCATGGCCAAACTAAAGGCTCCATCCTACCTCTTAGTCACACTTGCCTAGAATTTAGCCTCAACAACCAGTAGCTAGGGACAGGATGGGAAACACTAACATGCTAGCCCTACCTGGAAGACAGCCCTCTGACTGTGAGCTGGGAAGAGAGGGAGCCCTGGGTTACTGGTTGCACAAGTCTGCAGTGAAGGCTCAGTCTCACTGATTTGGGAGGGGGAAGGGAGGAAGCAGGTCTCAGTTCACATACCACAAACTCTCTCTGTTTCTACTGAATTTTAATAGAGTTTTTGAATAAATGTTTCTTCTTTGGCTAAATGTCCTTAGGACCATTTCCAGAGCTTTAAATGATCATTTTTTGATCATTTTAACCAGTTTTTCTGGGGAATGGGCCCATGGAGTTCCTTATGCTGTCATTCTGGAAGTTCCTCTAAAACTAATTTTAAGAAAGTGTCACCTATGGAAGGAAGGAATTAATATACTTCTGAATATAATTTTGACTTTGGAACCCATGTAAGTGATTTACATAACTAAAAAACAAAAAATAAATACCTAAAAATAAATAAACAAAGCAATCTAATTGTATATCAGGTTGGTGGCATAACAACACAGAAAAAATCATTCTTAAGTAACCCAAAAACACAGTATTTTGACTGTACATACCTAGTAGGATATATCTAATGGTGTGCTGGGGTTAGTTTACTGCAGCTAAATCAAACAAATTATGTTAATGTCATTAGGAATCAAGATTTTCGATATAGTGACATTTGATATAAAATCAAATAAATTAAGTAAAAACTCTATAATTTTACACTTGAATTGGAAATATCAGTATGAATTTGTAATTTATTTTACCTTAAAATATATATATTTCTTAGCTCTGTCCACCAAAAAGGCTTAGAACAAGCCTCGAGATCTAACTCCCATGTGATAGGAAATGCAGGGGATAGAGGAACTGGTTAAATGATACCATGAAGATGCAATCAGCTAAGTCCAGAATCTGGGAAATTCTAGAGGACAAATGACCTAATTTCTTCCACAAATAAATGGCAAGAAAAAGGAGGCAAAAGAAACCATTAACATTTAAAAGAAACTTTAAAGAATTATACCAAATGCAATGTGTAAACATTTTTTGGATCCTAATTCAAACAAACCAAGTACATATGACATACTCCAGGAGTAATCACAGAAATTTGAACATTAAGCAGTAATTCAATGATAGTAATAAGTAATTGGATGTTATAACAAATCAGGTTCTATTAAAGAATTATTAACTTTTTCAGGTGAGACGATAATATTGTAGTTTTTTTAAGAGAGCTTTTTAAGTTTTTAATTTTATATTTTGATTTTCTGACTTGAACAAGTAAGCTTCAAAAAATTATGAGATGAACAGGAAAATTTGAACTGTGACTGGATATTTGATGATATTATGAAATTATTGTCTTTTGATGGTAATAATATTATGGTTGTACTTTTTAAAGTCCTTATCTTTTATATTTATATACTGAACTGCCCACTATCGTTATGTAATGGTGAGATTTTTTTTTTTTTTAAAAGAAAAGATCCTTAAATGCTTCCAGAAGTGTGTATGGATAAAATGACATTGTGTCTGGAATTTGCTTTAAAATAATCCAGGGTTTTATTGTTGCTTTTGGAGGGGCAGAGGTTATAGGTGAAACGAGATGGACCAGCTATTACTAACTGTTGAAGGTGAGTGATCATTATACACAAAGGTTCATTAAACGTTTTCTCAACTTTCATGTACATTTAAAATTTCCCATTATGGAAAATTTTTAAAATGAACAAAACGTTCTACCCACTGTTCTCTAAAGATGGAATAACCTCTAAGAAGAGGAGTTGTAGGAAGCCTTGATGGGTGGGAAGAACAAGCCAGGAACCTCTGGAGAGGGCAGGTCTATGGAGGGTACTGCTGTGGGGGACCTCTAGCGGAGTTGTGATCAAGACCTAGCTGTAGAATGTGTCTTCTTGAGCTCCTCTTAGCCAGGCAAGTGTCAGATAAACCAGGTTCAAGTTCCAGTGTATAATACTTTGCTAAATCAGACCCCACATGACCAAATCCACCTCATTTTTCCACTTCCGTAACATTAGTCTGTCTCAGCCATCCTACAACACCCAGCTCAAGTCCCACCTCTTCTTATCTCATGGCTAGTAATAGCCCTTCTTCCATATATTTTTTTTCTTTTTCCTGTGAGGAAGATTGGCCCTGAGCTAACATCTCTTGCCAATCTTCCTCTTCTTGCTTGAAGAATATTGTCGCTGAGCTAATACCTGTGCCAATCTTCCTCTATTTATGTGGGCCCTGGGCACAGCATGGTTTGATGAGCAGTGCTAGGTCCGCGCAGGATTTGACCTGCGAACCCTGGGGCCACCACAGCAGGGCACGTGAACTTAACCACTGCCACCAGGCCAGCCCCAGCTTTCTTACATATTCTTATCACTCATTTTGTCTTCTCATTTGTTCCCTCATGTTGTTACTTTACTGTTTCCTGATACATCTTTTCCCAACCTCAGTCGTGCTCCTAAAACCAGGGGCCATTACATATTTTAAAATTTGTCTCTGCATAACAATAATACTATCCACAAAGTTGGAGCTCAATTAATACTTGAATAAGTAAAGGCTTTGAAGAGGCCAAAGAGTAAATTATGGTTTATTGAGCAAAGCGGTCAGGGTGGGGTGGGGTGAGGGGCAACGGTTCCTGATTTCTCTCTCGTGGGAGTTTCAAAAACCCCACAGACACGGCACTTCTATTCCTATTATGAAGCTGCTGGATATTTCGACCACCTCGAGTACATCGAGCAAAAATCAGTGCATCTGGCACTGCACAGAACCTTGAAATATCTTTTTAAAAGTTGGAATATAAACCGAATGTGTCTTTTCCCCTTATGGTTGCAATCACCACGTGCAGTTTCCGCACACAGCAGCCCGGGCTTTTCACTCGCACGTCCAGCAGGCTATGCTGTGTAAGAGAACACACCTGCAATGCTGGTGTGAGTCCAGCACAGGCAGCTTCAGATTTTAAGCAAATATTCCGGGTATCCCCAGAAGAGTAAAGTGGAATAGAAAGAGCGGAGACTCGTGATCTCTAGTAGAGCTGCTATGAACTCTGATTCAAAGGCACATTGCTTTTTCCTCTTAAGGCACTGCAAGCTTAAACTTTTAGATTTAGCGACTGAAAGAGATTCATCCCAACGAAAGAATAGAAATTACAAAAACATACGCAGGAGCAAAGCATCAAGGAGAATATTTTTGTTTAAAAACATCACACGGAAAACAAAAAGCGGAGCAGTAAATGTTTTCACTTCGGGCGCTCTGGTCCTCACCGGTTCCTGTCACCATCTTACCCAGAGAACTGGTGCGGGAGAGGGAAGGAGGAGAGGGAGCCACCGCAGGCTGGGGACGGTGCCTCCAGCCGGCCCGAGCCTCCCCACGCGGCCTGGCCGGCTGGGCGCCACCGAGCGCGGACCTCCGGCGCGTCCTAGAGCGGCCGCGCGCGGACACGGCCGGCGGCGCACTTCCGCCTGCGCCCGTCGCTGCCCCGTGGCCGGCTGCGCCTCCCTCGGCTCCTGCCGGGGGCCTCGGGGAGCTGGTGAGTGGGGCAGGGCGCGCCGGCGGGGGCGGGCCAGGGGCTGCGCCGCCGCGGCCTCCCCCGCGTCGCCGTCGGGGCTGAGCCGCTCGGGCGGGCGGTTCCTCCCGGCTCGCGGGCGGGGCCAGAGCCGAGGACCCAGGCCCGGGGAGCACGGGGGACCGAGGGCGCGCCGCGTCCCCTCCTCGGGGCGGGAGCCTCCGGCGCCCGGCGCTCCTGCCGCCGCCGCGTCTCCCTTTGGGAGCCTGACCCTGACTTGGAGGAGGGCCTGGGTTCGCTGGTGATGGGAGACCTGGCTTCTGGCCCTGACTCTGCCTTGGCCGCCCACTCTATTTCTGCTTTCACGGTTCTTTCATCTGTAAAATTGAGGGTGGCAGTAACTGCTCTGCCTACACCACAGGGTGATCCCAGGGTTGGCACTCCTTGCCGGAAAAGGGGTTCTCAACCCGCTGCCTTTAGAATCGTTTGGCAAGCCTTCCAGTTGCTGAGGCCGAGAGTCACCAGGTGATTGTGATATGCAGCCAGGACTGAGAGGCGCTGGCCCAGTGTCAAGAGACAGTACTGTGGTCGTGTGCTGGGTTCTCGCCCAGAATATGCACTTCCTCCAAGGTGGATCATAGTCATGAGAAAGCAAGCGGCTGGGGTTTTTTGTCTAAGAAGAAAGGGACCAAATGTAGTTTGGTCACTTTTAATTTCTAGTGTCTAAAGGGGTGTATGTCGATGAAATTGACCCATTGATTAAATACTGATTACTTGCCAACCTAGTGGAATGGTTTTGATTATTTGGCTTCCTTTTAAACGTTTTGTATGGGAAACTTTCAAACATATGCAAAAATGGATAGTGTACCATTTTTCATGATCAATCTTTTTATCTGTTACCCTCACGGCCACTGGATTATTTTAAAGCAAATCCGATTGTACATTTCATCCGTTAAATACTTGTTTATGTTTATAAAACACAACTCCTTTTTAAAACAAAGCCATTATTAATATAATAAGCATTTAATGTTATCATCTATCCAGTCAGCGTTGACATTTCCCCAGTTGTCTTTTCCCCCCCCTCCCATTATCAGTTTGTCCAAATCAGGATCCAAACAAACTACACATGTTACATTTAGTTGAGGTCTCTTTTAATCTCTTTATCCCCTCCTTCTTTGTTTTGCTTTTCTCCTTGTTTTTTACTTGTTGAAGAAACCAAGTCATTTGTCCTGTAAAGTTTCCTACATGCTGGATTTTTGTTTTTCCATCCTGGTGATGTCCTTTAATAAACTGGTATTGAGATTGCAGCCTTTTTCAGATTCAGGTTCACTTTTTGGCAAGAAATCTCATAGCATTACTGTGTATTTCATTTGCATCACATTATGCGTTAGATAAGGTCTTGTCTCTCTTTGTGGTGTTAAGATTGATCAGTGAGCCTTTTCAGTACAAATTGCACCGCAGGGTAACTAAATAATTGAGTGGGAAATTACACAAGGATGCCAGCTAATAACTGCAGAAGGAATGAAAGAACATCACCTTTTGGAAACCCCCAATGAAATAATGGATCCTGACAATGATCATTAGCGGCTGTTAACATCAGAAAAAGACAGCCAGACAGCATGCTTCTTGATGGAGGTACCCAATACCACTTAGCAGGTGTTCTTGGATGATGGGTGGGGGATATAGATGAAAAAAGATTAGCCGTGAGTTGATAATTGTTGAAGCTAGATGATATGTATGTGGCAATGCATGATGCTAATCTCTCTACTTTTGTATGTGCTTGAAATTTTTCATAGTAAAAAGTTTTTTAGAAAGATTGCTTGGTTGACTGGTGTGTTCGGGTCAGCCTGATCCATCCATTAGAGTTCTCTGTTAGCCTTTCACTAAGTGGTTCTCAAATCTGACTGCATGTTAGAATCAGGGAAATAATTTCTTCTTTTAATACTAAAACATATGTCTCACTAGCAGAATTTAATTTTTCTGGGATGGAGCCCAATCACTGATATGTTTTAAAAGCTCTTCAGGTGATTCTAATATGCTCCAGGGTTAGGTACCACTGGCCCAGATCCATTATTTGTTAGGGATTGCAAAGTGATTATATTTTATTCTTCCTTCTGCATTTATTAACTTTTAATGTTTTTAAGTTTCTACATTGTTTATTCTCACCTCTCTTGCAAACTGCAGTCCAGCAGGAAAGCCTCTGCAAATTAAACAACTGAATTATCAGAGGAAGGCTTGATCTTGGAAGTAAAAATGTGGAGTAGCCCATGAAGGCACACTGGCAATAACCTCAAAGCTTGTGCTTGGGGTGGAGACATACCACCTGTGTGTGTGAGGTGTGTGCATGAGGAGGGTGGGGAGCTGACTGTGTCCCCAAATGGAAAGAAAGATTAGGTGATGTGTAATTAGAAAAGCATGTTCAGCCTTATGACATATTTTTTAAAAATCATCATTTGAAAAACAGTAAGGGGCTGGCCTGGTGGCATAGTTGGGTTCACACGCTCTGCTTCAGCAGCCCAGGGTTGTTGGGTTCGGATCCCAGGTGCAGACCTACACACCACTCATCAGGCCATGCTGTGCAGCGTCCCACATACAAAATAGAGGAAGATTGGCACAGATGTTGGCTCAGGGCCAGTCTTCTTCAAGCAAAAGAGGAAGATTGGCAACAGATGTTAGCTCAGGACCAATATTCCTCACCAAAAGAAAAAAAATTAAAGAAATTAAATAGATAAATGCTGCTGATTGCAACCAAAAACAACCCAATGATTTAAAAGAAAAGTTAATAATCCCCCCTCCCCCACCATTTTAATTACCCCTGAGATAACCAGTATTAACAATATGCTATGTATCCTTCCACACGAGACTTTCTCTGTCTTATATTTGTAGGGGTTTGGGGCATTGCTATAAAAATGAGATCATGCCATAGCTATCTGTAACTTTTCTTACTGTCATCCCTTCAGAACAAGAGTTGCAGACCTGACTTAGCTGCAGAATAAATAGTTCATGGTATAAATATACAATAAAATATTCGAGTGTTTCCCTATTGACATATACTCAGATTGCATCTATATTTTAGCCACCTTAAAAGTATCACAGTAAACATCGTTGTACATAGAACCTTTTTTTTTAGGGTTGATTCCCAAAAATGGAATTGCTGGGTTAAAGTGTTTTATCGTTAGCTGCATCATTATTATTGGTAATATGTATTGCCAGATTACTTTCCTAAAACATAATAGCAACTCACACCTCCATCACTAGTAACATGTGACAGTACAGTTGTTCCCTTGTCCTGGTTAGCACTAGCTAGTGTTAATATTTGCCAGCTGATGTGTGAAAAATGGTGTCTCTTTGTTTCTTTAATCTGCATTTCTTTTAACTACCTGGAGACTGAGCACTTTTTATGCTTATTGGCTTTTTGGATCTCTTCTGTCCATTTCCTGTACATATCTATTGCTTATTTTTCTGTCAGTTATTTTTGTTTTTCGAATGCATTTGCATGAACTTTTTCTTAGGGGCATTAACCCTTTATCATACAATGCAAACAGTTTTCTCCAGGTGTTTTTTTGATCTTTTGACTTTATGAGTCTTGATATATGAAAGTTTTTATGTTGTGAAAATGTCTGTTTTTTTTAAATTTGTGAGTTTCCTATCTTGCCAATAAGGGCTTTCTCATCCCCAAAGCGATATATATATGTATTCTCCTAATTTTTCTTTTTGGTGAGGAAGATTGGTCTGGAGCTAACAGCCATTGCCATTTTTCCTCTTTTTGCTTGAGAAAGATTGGCCCTGAGCTAACATCTGTGCCAGTCTTCCCCTATATTTTATGTGCGACACCACCACAGCATGGCTTGATGAGTGGTGTGTAGGTCCAACCCTGGGATCCGAACCCATGAACCCTGGGCCGCCAAAGCACTGCACACAAACTCAACCACTACACCACCAAGCCAGCCCCTCTCCTAATTTTTTTGAACGTTTTATTGCACCTTTTACATTTAAATTTCTAAACCATGTGGAATATATTTTTATATATAATGCAAAGTGAGAATCTTGCTTTATTTTTTTCTGCAAAAATAGCCAATTATGTCAGTGCTGTTTATTAAATAAACCACTCTTTTAATACTTTTGTTATATATTGATTCTCATACATAACTGGTTTTATTTCTGGACCATCCCTTCTCTTCACCTCTATTTTTGTGCCAATATTATTCTCTTTTAATTATACCTGATTAGTGTAGTAAGTGTTAAAATCTGGAAAGATAAGTCACTGCTCACTACTTTAGGTAATTTTCTTGCCCATTCTCAGACATTTATTTTTCCTTCCATGTGACCTTTGGATTGTTTTTTGTTCCAAGATAAATCCCATTGGAAATCTGAAAGAATTTGCATTCAATGGATCTACATTATAAAAAGAGTAACATTTCTGTGTTATTAAATCTTCCCATCAAGGAGCATAAGGTGTATTTCCATTTCTTTGGGTCTTTTAGGTCCTGTTCCTTTCCTATTAACTTTATTTCTAATGATTTTATAAGGTTTTCTTTTCCTCTTGTGAATGAGATTTTTTTCCCATTTCTATTTTTATCTGGTTATTGCTAGGACTTAGAAAAGTTATTGATAGTTTTTTTTTTTTTTCTGCTTTAATCTCCCCAAATCCCCCCTGGTACATAGTTGTATATCTTAGTTGCAGGTCCTTCTAGTTGTGGCAAATTATTGATAGTTTTGTATATTGTATATTCAGCTCTCTGTCAAATTTTCTTATTTTAGTACTTTTTCTTAAAATTATTTATATGTTTTCCTCCTTGCCATCAGTGTGGATAATCTAAATTGGTTATGTGTAAGTTTGAGTTTATTCTCATTTATTCTATTTGATGTACATCTCCCATCACGGAAGTATATCAGAGATAGCAGATGTGCTCAGAAACAGTGAAAGGAAAAAGAGCGATGCCAGGAGCAGAAATCTACACTTTCAACAGGTTATTGCTGATCACTTATAATGGCAGAAAGCTGAGTCCTAACCAGTCATAGAGCCTGTCATTTAGGGGAGTGAGCCATTCACTCCGCTGTACTCTGAGGGGTCAGCAGTCCTGTAGAGTGTTGTAGAGCACTGCTGTATTTATGATCGTTCAGAGAAAGGGCTGATCACCATAGACACCAGAGATACCACTCAGTCAGCACAATTAAATCCTGTCTCTTGCCCAGAACCTCAGCTAGAGTTGTTATTGTTTAGTGTTGATTAGAAGGACTTTTTAAAAAAATTGAGTGGAAAGTACAGAGAGTTCCTATATACTCCCTCACCCTGCCCCCCAGTTCCTCCTATTGTTACCATCTTGCGTTAGTGTTGTATATTTGTTACAGTTGTTGAACCAATATTGATACATAATTATTACTACTAAAATTTATATTAGGGTTTATTCACTCTTTGTGTTTTACAATCTATGTGGTTTTTTTGGTTTTTGTTTTTAAATAGAGGAAGGCTTTTTTTTTTCCTTCCCCCAAAGCCCCCCAGTACATAGTTATATATTATGGTTGTAGGTCCTTCTAGTTCTGCCATGTGGGATGCCGCCTCAGCATGACCTGATGAGCGGTGCTAGGTCTGCACCCAGGATCTGAACCGGCAAAACCCTGGGTTGCCAAAGCAGAGCGCACGAACTTAACCACTCGGCCGTGGGGCCAACCCCCAATCTATGGTTTTAACCAAAGTATAATGACATGTGTCTATCTTTACTGTATCACACAGAATAGTTTCACTGCCCTAAAAGTCCCCTGTGCTCCACCTATTCATCCTTCCCTCCCTCCCCGCAAACCACTAGCAACCACCCACCGTCTTTTTACTGTCTCTGTAGTTTTGCCTTTTCCAGAATGTCATATAGTTGGAATTCAACTATGGTTTTTACTGGGTTTGGCTGTTTTTTTATTTGTTTGTTTGTTTTTGTGTGTGTGAGCAGTGACGCAAGGTTTGGTAACTTGTGGTTTTAACTGATTAAGAGTTATTAAAATCTTCCTTTGGATTTCTATGGAAAACTGTTGGAGAACAGGAATCCAGACTATTCTGAATAACCAAAAAATAAATAACAGTAAATCTCACAGGAACCTGTTTTTGGTGATTTTGAGCAGTGACGTGAAGTAATCCCTGGGTGATCTTTCCTTTGCAGGGTGGAAGATGTCTATGGATGTGACGTTTCTGGGGACAGGCGCAGCATACCCATCCCCAACTCGGGGTGCCTCTGCTCTGGTCCTTCGGTGTGAGGGCGAGTGCTGGCTCTTTGACTGTGGGGAAGGAACCCAGACACAGCTTATGAAAAGTCAACTTAAAGCAGGTTAGTGTGATTCAGCTATCTCGTTAAGACTGTCTCTTGTTCTGCTTCATTTTCTTGGCTCTCCTTGGGCCTTTGCTAAGAAATAGTCCTGACAGTTGCATCCCACTTCAGTGCTGGAGCCCTGGAAGACTTGGAGGGCTCTTGGTCATCTGGCCACGCCCACTGAACTTCATTCATCTATTTATTTACTTTTCATCCATCCTGTAAATGTTGAGAGCAAGGATTTATATAGGCTCAGGGGATAGAGGATGGAGTGGGATACATCAGGCATATTAGATGGACACTGCCCAAGCAAAGGAACGGCGTACATACTTATTTCCCCCTGGAGATAGTTGTAAGTATCATGAGAGAATGTGAAGGGCAGTAGATGTTCAGAGGAGGGAGATACTCTTTTCCACTTGGGGTTATCGGTGTAGGCATCTCAGAGAAGGTGACCTGTGAGTTGTTGAAGGAGGAGGAGGAATTCCCTGGGTTGGGGAGAAGAAGGGCATTCCAGCCAGAAGGAGTGGAGTGAGCAGAGGCCCAGCACCAGGGAGACGGAGGAGTACAGTGGTGAAAAGCCTCGGCCCAGAGCCAGGCAGACCTAGGTTCCAGTCCCAGCTCTGTCTTTGCTTGTGACTTTAGCAGGTTAGCAAACTTAAGCTTTACTTCTTCATCTTGAAAATGGGTATAAAAACTCTACTTAGAAATGATGTTATGAGAATTATGTATAATAATCCCTTCTCTGTGTGGTTGTCTCCTCATCAGTTAAATCTTAGCTTAAATGCCATCTCTTCAGAGGCTTTCCCTGAACATCCAGGATTAAGTCGTTCCTCCCTCACCCTAGGCATTTTGCTGCTCCACCCTATTTTTGTTGACTTCTTAGCATCATCAATATCTAAAATTATGTTATTTAAATAGTTGTTTCTCTGTACACTGTTTCCCTGTACTAAGCTTACTGGTCACTTATGTACCTAGTAGATGCCTAGTAAATATCTGTTCAGTTAATGCTGGAATAAGACGTTCAGCACTTACTACAGTGCCTCTCACTCACTAGGACTGATACATGGTAGTCATTGAAGTTATTATTCCTATGACTCAACACAGTGCATGGCATTTGATGACTAAAGGAAAGATAGTTCTAGCATCCAAGGATCTCTTGGTCTAGTGGTGGAAACTGACATGCAGACAGTCATAGTGTAATGTGATAAACAGAATAGCTATCACATGGGTAATGTGATAAGTAGAATTATGGAGGTGTTTTCCAAGTACTATCGGAGCACAAACGAGGGGGACACTAACTGTAGCTGTATGTTCAGAGAAAGCATCCCAGAGATGGTAACAGTTGAGCTAGGATCTAAGAGATGAATAGAAGTTTCTCTGGGGAGAGAAGAAGGAATGGACATTCAAGGAACAGACAACAAAGTAGGCAACAAGTAAGGGGGTTTCCATGAGAGACATGACATGTTTGGGGAATATTAAACCATCCAGAACTTGGCGTAATTGACTAGGATAGATGGGAGATAAGAATGCTGAAAAAGTAAGTAAGGGCAGACTGTGAAGTCTTCTGTGGCATACTACGGTGTTTAGGCCTTATTACAGTCATGCATTGCTTGACGATGGGGATGCGTTCTGAGAAATGTGTCATTAGGCCCACGAACATCATAAAGTGTACTAAAGGGGAACAAAATTTGCCACCCCCAAATGTGTCTCTTTTATGTGAGGATTATTCTAGGCTGATTATTTTTAAGAAACAAAGACTCTGAATGTTCTTTTTCTTATGCCCCCTTAACTGCCTTATAGAATTCAGATTAAAAAAACTTGTCTCAGGAGGCAAGCTATCACCTTAGCATATTATAAGCTAGGTGGTAAACAGGGAGGAACCTGGAAAAGCCTGTTGGTTGGGCTCCCCTCTGGGTTCTTCTGTTTCTGTGTGGCCAAACTTGTTTTCCAAATGTTTGCTCCTTTTCACCTACCTGTGGATTGCCTTCCTTCTCTTTGATGTCGCTAACTCTCCCCTCCCCCAGCATCTTTTGTCTTTAGCTGAGGATGGTATTTAAGGTGAGTCCTTTGGCCATTTTGGTGAGTTACTCTGTTTTCCAGGGTTTCTCCCACATATACATGTTATTAAACTTTTGTTTTTCTCCTGTTAATCTGTCTCATGTCAATTTAATTCTTAGACCAGCCAGAAGAACTGAGAAGGGTAGAAGAAGATTTCTTCCTCCCCTCTACAGTACTTACACAAACCTGGACTGTACAGCCTACTGCACACCTAGCTGTATAGTACTAATCTTATGGGACCACCATCATATATGCGATCCATCATTGACTGAAACATCATTAGGTGGCACATGACTGTATTCTATTGGCAATAAGGAATCATTAAAAGTTTTCAAGTAGGGGAAAGACATGGTCTGATTTGTGTTTTAGGACAGAGTTTTCCAATGGCAAATGTGTTGGGAGAAAGAGAATAACATCAAGGAGACCAGTTCAAGGCAGTTGCCTTCATCTGAGAGAGAAAGAGAGGATGAGGATGTTGAAGCAGGAAGTAGAGATGGGGATGAAGATGACAGACTCAATTTAAGAAGTAACTTGTAGAGCCAGCAGGAGGTGGTGACTGATGAATGCCTAGGATGTGAAGAAGTGAAGCATTATTATAAGTTAGAGATGGTGATGTCCTCAACCTAGAGAGGGAGTCAGGAAAAGAGCTGTTGCAGAAAGGAACTAATACTGCATTTCACTTGGGACACATGGCCTTGTGATATATACAGTTCAACCTTAATTATCTGCTGTCTTCTGTTGAAACCCTGAGGTGAAGGCAAGTACTACGCTTTACTTCCCTTGGATCACAGAGGGGTTTCCTTTATGAGAATTCTCAGGGTAGGCACAGGCCAGGGTGGAAGCTGTAATATTTAACATTGTAGAGAGTAGGAATTGAAGTGGCAGAGTGATTAATAGAAACCAGAAACTGTTAAATGTGGGTACCAGAGGTTTGGGTGCAGGGATAAGTCTTTACTTTTTATTTAATAGCTGTATCAGTTATCTAATGCTGCATAACAGATTGCAAATTTAGTGGCTTATTTGTATTCCCTCTCTCACAGCTTCTATGGGGCAGGGAGTTCAGGCCTGGCTTAGGTGGGTTCTCTGCTTCAAGGTCTCACTAGGCTGCAATCCTGTTATTTGCTAGGGCTGAGGTCTCATCAGAGGCTCATCTGGGGAAGTATCTGCTTCAGAGTTCACTCAGGTTGTTGGCAGCATCCTTACAGTTGTAGAACTGAAGCAGCCCACAGCTCCTAGAGGCCTCCTGCAGTTCCTGGTCATATGGGTTTCTGTTTCATGGTAGCTTTGCCTATTTACTGCCAGCAAGGGAGAAGGAAACTCATGAGCAAGTCTGCTAGCAAGATGGAATCTTATAATGCAACATAATCACATTGCATCCCTGTGCCAGGTTTTACTGGTTAGAAGCAAGTTACAAGTCCCACCCACACTCAAGGGGAGGGAATTACAGAAGCACGAGAACACCAGGAGGCAGGGGCCATGAGTGCCACTTTAAGTCTATCTGCCTCAATTCCTTTTCTCTAATATTTTATATTTTATAGCTGTTTTATATCTTTTTAAAGTAAATAGTTTGCAAAGCTAAGCCTGGCAAAATAAATAAATAAAATAAAGCCTAAGGGAACCTTTAGTTTATTAAATTTTTATTGGCTTAAAAAAGGAAATTCCCGGCCTCAGAGAGGAGGGTGAGATGGTAATCCCAGAACTTATCTATTACTCGCTAGCGCTTCGGAAGCCCCCAGTCTCAAACTCGAATGCAGCATCCTCAATACATCCTGGTTTCTCTCAGTAACCCCATATGGACCTACGGACCATGGAAACTCTTTCAGCTTGTACTACCTCCTGGGGTAGTAATATTCTGTGAGTTTCATAAAGAAGTACTTTCTATTTATCTAAACATACTTTCAAGCTTCCATGGTCCTAATATGCGAGCATCTGATTTATAGGCATAGGCTTGCCATGTCTATTTCTTTTATAATTTTAAAAAGTGAGTGTAAGCCTTCCTTTTTTCCCTCAAAAATGATTATAAAAAATATAGTTTAAAAAATGATTACAAAAAGTATACATGCTCATTGTAAAAGTTCAAACAAAGCAGAAAAGTATAAATAAGAAGAGCCTAAATCCCCCCCATAGGTAAATTTTCTGTACATGTAGATATGGTAATGGAGGGTGTGTGTGTGTGTATAATTCTGCATAAATGGAATCACCCAATACTTGGTGTACCCTGCTTTCTTCCAGCTGAACACTATATAGGAACAGTATATTGCAGACATTTTCCTATGGCAGTAAATATACCTGCATCATCACTTAGAGGATGCTTAGTGTTTCGCTCCTCTGGGGATGACCTGTTCCCTGGTAACTTACTTATTCTCAAGTGAGACAGAACTCATGCATTTTTCTTTCCTCATTTGATACCTTTGATAATTGTGGTTGCCATTCCTTCTCCCTCTGGAATCAAGTTTCAAGAAAAATGAAATGTTTGTCTTCCTTGAAACTGTGATAAGTGTGGGAAGCAGTTTTTTCCTTACTTAACTTGTCGCGCTTGCTTTGGGTTCACAGATTGTTTGGTGTTCAGTTTTGGCTGTTTTGCAGTAGATAGGGAGAGGGACCAGAGAGTCTGACTCGGCAGTTTTGAGGTCAAAGTGAGATCAGGACTCAACAACCGTTGTAGTTCTTTTGTCTGCAGAGGCCTCAGGTCACACTCAGGGGTGCCTGGGCAGCCCAGACAGCAGGAATAGGGAAATGAAAGGGTTCTAGAAGTCAAGAAACAGCAAAACCGAGGACTAAAAAGAGAAAAACAAAAAGGAGTATATTGAAGAAACTTCTAGAGTGCCTTCTGGGGATTCCCAAGGCCCAAGATCAGCCTCTGCCCAGTCTTTTGTTGTGTGCCGTGAGGGCCTGGGTTTGGTGTAGTAACTCTGGGAAGACTTGCCTGGAGAACACTTTGCCTTGATGTCAGAGAACAAATTACTTTACAATAAACTATTCCTGTTCTTTTATGGTATCAGTAAACTGTTCCTCTTCTTTTATGGTATCAAATGTTTGAAATAGGTGAGCCATGAGCTAGGACTGGGAGCCTCTGTTATACTAAAAATGTGTTAATTGTGATTGTTACTTTTAAAATGACTTACGGTGCATCTCAGAAAAATGCTGATGTGGCATCCTGCCACATACCAGCAGTAAATTCAGTTTACTATTGGCTACATCAAGTTACAACCTAAGCCAATATACATTGAAAAGGCTGTTGTGTTAGTTCAGACTGAAAGGAAGGCATGGGCCCAGGTACCTTTATGGAACACCGTAGGGGATCTCCCCTCTGATCTACATTCTGGGATCTATTGCCCACCTCCTCTCCTCTCCCTGTCCCTTTCCTACCTCCCTTTTTCTCCTGCCTCTTTAACCTCACCCAGACAAGCAGGCTCTGACTTGGTTAGTTAATCTCTGTCCAGTGTAGAGTCCTTAAAAGGCAATTTTGGGTTCAGGCACTGGTCCAGTCAATTGGAGCCAGGGGAACATTTGTTTTGCTGAAAGTACATATTTGCTATTCTCAGAGTGAGCAGTAGGGGGCAGTGTAACTGCCAGATGCTTTGACACTTGAGGCCTAGCTAGTTATTTAAGTGAATTATTTTGGTACACTTCCCTATTCCTTTTTTTTTCTTTTTCTTTTTTTTGTTTAGTAAGAGGATGTGTAGGAAAATTCTCAAAACTGTAACACTATGTAATTTGAAGATGTTTTATGAAAAAAGTTATATCTTATTAAAACCATCTAGTGAAATAAAGCCTGTCTTTCTCGCTTCTGGAATCATGTAGAAAAACGTAAAGAAATAAGTTTATGGTGATAAGTAGAGCTTGTGAATTCATTTTACTGCTTCCTATGTAAGTTGTTATGCATGTTTCAAGTAGCTTTGTATGGGTTTATTTCTGAAAAATTCCCAGATTTATTTCTTTGCCTCCATCAAAAGGGAGAATTACCAAGATCTTCATCACGCATCTTCATGGAGACCATTTCTTTGGCCTTCCTGGCCTTCTCTGCACAATCAGCCTGCAGAGTGGCTCCACCGTCACCAAACAGCCTATCGAAATCTACGGCCCTGCAGGGCTGCGGGACTTCATCTGGCGAACCATGGAACTCTCTCACACAGAGTTGGTCTTCCCTTACGTGGTCCATGAGCTGGTACCTACGGCAGATCAGTGTCCTACAGAAGAACTGAAAGACTTTGTACATGTGAATAGAGCAGACAGCCCTCCCAAAGACGGACAAGGAAGAACTATCCTATTAGACTCAGAAGAAAACTCATACCTTCTGGTTGATGATGAACAGTTTGTCGTGAAAGCATTTCGCCTCTTTCACCGAATACCCTCCTTTGGGTTTTCAGTCATGGAGAAGAAACGCCCAGGTAAACTCAATGCCCAGAAACTGAAAGACCTCGGTGAGTGTTTTTTTGCCCCCTTCTCATCAATCGAGCTGTTGTTAACTGAGGCTGTGGGAAGTCTCATAGTAGCCTTCCTTTGCTGTCTCCCAGGCCTAAAACTGACATTTTCTCCACTTACTTCATTTGCTCAAAGTTTGCTTATTAAGAGAAATTCTTAGGGCCAAAAGATGCTATTCAGAGCAAAAACCAAGTATATATTTGAATCCTCTCTTCAGTTCTCTGGATGCACATTCTTAGTCAATTATCTTCAGCTTAAACGATCTTGGTTGGCAGGGTGGTGTTATTGTCTTAGGTCTAGGCTTTTCTTTTTTCATGTCTTCCTTTTCAAATATGTTTCCAGTGACATCTTTGGCCTGAGAATTTTTGCCATAGCTCTTAACCTTGCACCTGCACCCAATTACTGTCAGGATTTTCCTTCTCTATTGACTTTGCCTCTTCAGTCAACCGTGATTAAGTTAAGGCAGTGATCAGAACATTGCTCCTTAACCAGTTTTACATACCTGGGTTCATCACCCTTGGAAGCAAGTACACAAAGATGGGCTTGGCCCATCTGAGGCTTCATTCCTCCTCTGGTGAGCCATCGTGTGTGAGGGGGTCTTCAGCTCCTCTCTCGAAGCAGCATCTGTGTCCCTTATCCCTCCAGCATCACCACTGTCCTTGGCATGACCATCGCAAAGCCTGTAAAAAGCATGGCATTGTTTTTGTGTATTTGTTTGTTTCTTTTTTTTTTTTTTTTAAAGATTTTTTTTTTTTATTTTTTCCTTTTTCTCCCCAAAGCCCCCCGGTACATAGTTGTGTATTCTTCGTTGTGGGTTCTTCTAGTTGTGGCATGTGGGACGCTGCCTCAGCGTGGTCCGATGAGCAGTGCCATGTCCGCGCCCAGGATTCAAACTAACGAAACACTGGGCCGCCTGCAGCGGAGCGCGCAAACTTAACCACTCGGCCACGGGGCCAGCCCCTTGTTTGTTTCTTTATGCAATCTCTTCTTTCTTCCCCAACTAAAACAAAGTGGCAAATAATAAGGAAAAGTGACTTAGGCTAAAGATATTTTTATTATTTAAAAACCTTTGGAAATACTGTTGTATTTGGAAACTTGAAACATGATCTATGTTGGAGTTCCTGATCACGTTCTATATGTTTGTAGGTATTGTCCAGAGTGATGATCAGGTGTTCTTCTAGACTAATATGAGATTTAAGCCCAGTCTGGTAAGGGTGGAACTGCCCCATCTACAAAGAAAGTTGATTATGTATGATTGCCTCAGATTCTCCTTGATCTTGTGATCCAAACAATCCCCGCTAACAATTTTTTTTGCTAGTCAGTTTGTAGGTAACTTGTCATTATTTAAATAGACTCTTTAATTTTACCGAAAGATCAGCTTATTAAATAAAGCACTGGCAAAAACTGTTATTCCCATGCACAGCAGACAATCGAGACTGTTATCGTGACTGTAATAAGGTCTTAGTGAGACTTAAGAGCTTAAAACTCACGTGACACATGTGTTTGGGAAATGCTTTAAGTACTAGAGCATTGCTAATGTCAAGAGCCAACACTGAATTTTTAAAAATGTATAAATATTTCAGTTTTCCACGAGTAGTAAAATATTTATAACAATTATGAAAAGAATTGGATGCCTTTTCCATTTGCTATTTGCTGTGCTGTTGAAACAGACTCTCTTAAAAAGTCATAAATTCCATTCCCATGATGTGATTTTATCTGCCTCCATCATTAGGTGTTCCGCCAGGTCCTGCCTATGGGAAGCTGAAAAATGGAATTTCTGTTGTTCTGGAAAATGGAGTTACAATTTCTCCCCAAGATGTCTTAAAAAAGCCTATTGTTGGAAGAAAAATCTGCATTTTGGGTGACTGTTCTGGAGTTGTGGGTGATGGAGGAGTGAAGCTGTGCTTTGAAGCAGACCTGTTGATCCATGAAGCAACCCTGGATGACGCCCAGATGGACAAAGCAAAGGAGCACGGCCACAGCACACCACAGATGGCAGCGGCGTTTGCAAAGTTGTGCCAAGCAAAGAGGCTGGTTCTGACTCACTTCAGTCAGAGGTACAAACCAGTTGCCTTGGCCAGAGAAGGAGAAACAGATGGGATTGTAGAACTGAAAAAGCAAGCTGAATCGGTGTTAGATCTCCAAGAAGTGACTCTCGCGGAAGATTTTATGGTGATTGGCATTCCGATCAAGAAATGAAGCCAGTTTTCCTGAATGCATACTGACATGTCTGTGAATACGTTACTGAACCAACAGTCCAGTTTCTTATTGTTGTTGTTGTTGTCGTTTTGGTCTAAAATTATTTGGGTCCTAATAATCGTAAAAAGGATGGAGCTGCGTTGGTGAACTGACTCAGCAGGGAGAGGGAACAAGCTTTTTGATAATAAATCATTTTAAAAAGAAAAAAACCAGCATCCTTTTTAAAGTCTATATTTGACAAAATGATAGACTACTCAGCTATACTTATTGTTTTGTGGCTGCTGCCTCAAATATGAGCCAACACCCCATTCAATCCTGGGCTTAGCTTCTGCCCAGCTTTATTGCTGTTGTTGGCAAAGTACACAGGGCTCAGCCCTCTTGGCTAAAAATGGTATTTTGGCAGTTTGTGTTGAATCTGTTCATGTTATTAACAGAATAAGGAGAAATGTAATGAGACATTGGACATGCAGGATTGAAGCTGGCATGTTAAATCTTGAATTCTTTGCTGGAATACTGAGTACAAGGTTGGGCTAGGTGTTTATCCTTCAATTAATATTTTATTGAACTTTCTGGTTTGCTCTAAGCCTGTGGTTCTTAGCTGGGGTGATACTGCTCCCCTAGATGGAGTTTTGAAATTATGGGGATGTTTTCTTGTCACAGTGACATGGGGGTGAGGGAAGTACTACTGGTATTTAGTCAGCAGGGGCCAAGGATGCTGGATCCTACAAAGTTTGGGTCAGTCTTATATAATGAAGAATTATCTCACCCCAAAATGAAAATTGCAGGCCTACTGAGATACACAGCAAGTTAAAACTTATCCTCCCACTGTGAATATACTTTACCAAAATCAGTGACATACTGAATTGAACTACTACGTAAGCCAAATTCAACAAATCCTAAAGACCTTGCTAAGTGAATATGTTGGAATTGGAATGTCATATCAAATATTATTTTCCCAAAATGAGCCATGAGCTGGAGCTTATGAATACGGAGGTAAAGAAATGATATCTATTAAACTAAGGTTTAATTTACATGTCACTATTAATAATTCCTTGAGCACAATTTTCATTTTTTTTCTAGACTAGCTTTTCCTTATGAGCTGCCTTCTACCTCCCTTCTTTCTGCCATGTGGTATCTCTGACTCATTTGCCCCACAATATTTTTCAAAATATGTTACATGGAAAGTTAATCTCAAGTACTGATTCATTCAAAAGGGTTCCCTAATCGAACAATTTGGGAAACCCTTTATGCTATGTGTCCCTCTGAAAGTGTTCTAGTGCCCATCAACATAGTAAAAACAGTACTGCTTGAGTGGTCATACACCAGTTTTTGGTGCCAGAGAGATCTGACTTCCAAGTCCCATTCTGTAATTCATGTTGGTACATGTGTTGTTTGGAGAAGATTACTTCCTTTCTGTGAGCTTCAGCTTGCTCATCTCTAAAATGGGAAAAATAGTAAGACCTACCTCATAGGATGGTTGTGAAGATTAAATGAGACTCTGCATAAAAGGAACATAGCACATTGCTTAAAGGTGTTGAGACGTCCTGCAGTACAGAGGCCTGTCAACTCTCTTGAACCCCTTTCTCAGTCCTATTTTCACCATATACTTACTACCTATTAGTATCTCAAGAACCTAGAACATTTTACAGTACACATATTCAGAAACATTGTCATGGTGTATGCTGTTAAATTTCTTTGGTGAAAAATTTTGACTCCTGGCTGGCTCTGGAGTCTCTAGAGTAGTAGTCAGGATGGGTCTAGTTACTCAAGATCTCATTCATTCTGAGGCAGTCTCCAGAATGATCTGGTTCTGCCCTGCTCTAGGCTCTTGGCCCCCAAAGTACCAAAGTTTGACCAGACTTAAAGTGTTTCTTGATTTCTGAACTCAATCCAAACAAGCATTTATTAGATACCTACTGTGTGCCCAAACCTGTACGAGAAGGAATGGCTAGCACTAGTCCCTCTACTTCATGGAACCCTTGCGTGTAAAGACTGTATCTGAGTCGCCTCTACATTCTTGGAACTGCCCACCCATAGTAAACACTCAGAAATGTTATTGAATGAAATGAGGCCTTGATATTGTGAGCGTGCAAACTTTAGGACCTAAAGCTTAGAACCCTGTGCCTCACCCGTTTCATTGCTGTACTTATCCAAAAAATTTAAACTACCCATTTGGTGGTTCCCTGTTCATTGAGTACCAAGTAAGTGCCAGGATTTATTGTGTTGGGAGTACATAAATGAATATAAGGCAAAATTCTAGGCCTGAGCTCACAGTCTAAGTGGTAGAGATAAGTAAGTAAACAAATGTTAAGTATACGGTTCCTTTAAATGTTCTAATCTTGTAGCGTGGCACTCAATTTTGCTGTTCCTGAGCCATATTTGGTAGCTGACTTGAGCTGTACCCTTAGAATCAGGCTCTGTTAATATATGTGGGCTAAGCCTTCCAAGACCATGAGAATCTGGGAACAAATTGATGTGTTGGATCAAGTGTAGGGTATCAGTCCATGGTGAAAATTCTTTCTTGGACTCTCTTCTGGCCTGGAATTTGTTCTTAATGGTAGGACATTCTAAGAATTTGTGGAACCATTGTTAAGTTTGAAGCTTATCTTGGACTTCCCAGAGCCTGTAATCTGCTCATGGTTGTATGACTCTAAGAGGAGCTTAGAATATGTATTGACCCAAACTTATTAGATCACCGAGTCCTCTTGTCAGGAAACATCTCGGAACACTGAGAAACACTGCTCCTTAATATTTCTCAAAATTATATGTATACTTTTACCTGCACAATTTATTGAGGTAATGAATTCCATACCTACACTTAATATAGTATTTTCTTTGTCCTAAACTGACTTTCTGTAGTCAGAAATTCTATTTATTTTAGATACAAAATATGCACTTTCTGGTTCCCAAAAGGTATTTTAGACTTGCCCAAATAGACCCTAAATCAGCTCTGTTTTCTAATACTCATGCCTCATTAATATATTTGAATGAACTTTTAATCAAAAAATCAGTGTAAGCGTGGTAAAAAAATTTTTTGCTAAAGATTCAGGAAAAGACAATTACTCATGATTCCACCATGCAGACAGTTAACTTCTAGACCAGTGTTCTTCAAACTGATGTGTGAGTCACTATTACTCAAGGTAGTACATGGGCAGACAAGGGTGTGTAGGTAGATGGAGAACCCTGGGCTCTGATTCTAAAGACTAATTCAGTAGGTCTGGGGTAGAACCCAAGAATCTGCATCTTTAATAAGCCCCCCAGGTGATTCTGAAGTATATAGGCACAACACTATAGAAAAAACCGTCTTTTCTATGCACTTAAAAAAATTGGGGTGTGTCTAGATATTTTATACATATTTAAACGTATAATATGTTTATATATTTGTGTATATTACACACATGCTCACATGCATATTTTTACATGTAGGTTGACCTCAACTGTTTTCTAATCTAACTTTATGAGCATTTCTCCACAATGTTAACTGTTCTTTGAAAGCATGAATTGAATGATTTAATATTATTTCATTCTATAGATGTAATATAATTTAACTGTTTTCCTACTTTGGGGGCATTGAGATTGTTTTCCATTATTATAAATAATTCGATCCTGAATATTCTTAGGTGTAAACCTTTGTATCTCTGAGTATTTCCTGAGGATTGATTTCTCTGAAGGTCAAAACACCTGCCTTAGGTTTTCAGCCTCTGGGTGGGAATCGACCCCTGTTTCCCAGCTCACATCCTGCAGCAGCATGAGAGACGCCTGATTTCTACTCCATTGATAGATGATATTGAGTACCATCAATTAAGGACCTTTCTATCCCTTCTGTTCCAAGACATTTGACTTATAAACATTATTTTGGCTTCCTAGTGCAAATAACTTTATGATGTCGTTCAACTACCACATATAATTCAATTGTGATTTCCTTCACTAGTCTTACACCGTCTTAAAAGTTTGGCAGTTTTTACTTAAAGGGGTAAAAATCCTTACTACTTAAAATATGTTCATGACAGATGTACAGTAAAGGTACTTTTGTCTTCACAAAGGTAAATTTATAGTGAAATGTACTGGTTCTGTCCTGATTAATGGATTTTCAGGTAATGAATGAGTCAGAGTATTTTTTCTTATATGGGAAGAACAACAAGGCAATGCTGGTAATACTTTGAATATTCACCCTGGTCAGATATGAATAGAGTTTAAGGAGGGGGTGAGATGGGACGTGGGGTAAGAGGGAGAAATTCTTTACTTCCAAGTAGTAAGTAAACAATGTTTAAAACTGAAAAATAAGTAGTACTTTAGGCATATTATGTTAGAAAAAAAAAGGAAGGCAAGGGGGATAAATACTGGATGAATAGTTAAGAGTCGAGGGGGCAGCCGGGGCTGAGTAGTTGAGTTTGCACGCTCCGCTTCAGCGGCCTGGGGTTTCGCCGGTTTGATCCTGGGCGCGGACAGAGCACCACTCATCAGGCCATGCTGAGGCAGCATCCCACATAGCACAACTAGAAGGACCCACAACTAGAAGATACACTAGGTACTGGGGGGCTTTGGGGAGAAGAAGGAAAAAGAAGAAGATTGGCAACAGATGTTAGCTCAGGTGCCAATCTTTAAAAAAAAAAAAAGAGTTGAGGAAGGGATCCTTAGTGGAAGGTACAACGGAATGGGAGGGACGGTCAGAGGACTACTTTTTTTTATAAGCCTAATAGTATTAGTGCTGTTGGATATTTGAACTATTTACGTGTATTCATTTAGTTTAAAAATTACATTAAAATACCCACACATAGACAAGATGCTGCTCTGAGTAATCATATCAATTGCTGGTCTCCACATGGGTGCTCCAGGCAGTTCACAGTTCCTCTCAAGCCTTTTTAACATTCCAATCCATTCTCCATACTGCAAAGTGATCTTTTTCAAAATGCAAATCTGAGCCTAGCACCCCCCACTTGAATCTGTTTCATGGCCTTGCCTTACCCAGCCTTTCCAACCTAATCTCTCTCCACAGTGCCACTCATTTCTGCAGCCCCAGCCACATGGGCCTTCTTTTAGTCCTTTGTCAGAGGTTTCTGTTGCACAGTCTTGGCACCCAGCCTGGAATGCTCTCTCTCCTCTCCCTAAGTTAACCCTTGCTGGGCCTGCTGATCACAGCCCTGCAGTGACACCCCCACAGAAGCCTTCCCAGACTTCCCCACAAGGTAGGATATTACTCTCACAGCAC